TCATTGTGGGGCGGAAGGGGTCACGAGGCAGCGATTTTTCAATTTGTTACTGATTTGTTTGCTGAGCAGAAGTCTGCACCCACCTCGTGTCACAGCTCTTGTCCTTCCAATCAATAATGCTTCATGTTTATGTATGTATCTGCCATTGATTGAATAGACCATGCAGCATAAGTGGGTTCAATAAAGCATCTAAATCTATCTATTGTATAAACACTAGGTGGTTTGGGTTGTAATCTGTAAAAACACTGGGGAGCTCAAACCCATGGACCATATGACTGGGTTTTATATAAATACATATTGTAAACAGCTCCAACTGTATTAAAGAGATGAAAATCCAGTTTGCATTTTTAAACAGTTTATTTCCACAATTGAACAAGAAAAGTCCTGAACAGCTGCAACTCACACTACACACATGACTCCACACAGTTTTAGCTTACTCTCTCACACACACATTCACACACACCTAAACAGAAAGGTACGACAATAAATGCTGTCAGAACTTTGAATTATGACCAAAACCAGGTATAAGTATTGAGCCAACCAATGACAATGAGAACATAATGTCACATCTATTACAATATTAGCATAAAAGTGATGTCCTTTTGACCTGAATGCTTTTCATATTTCTTCATTTTTTTATATGTCATATTGCATTGAATAAAAGCGTTAACAGTTTTATTTATTAAAGACAACAAAGACTACTTAGCTGAAATGTAAACAGAATGCATCATAACATATAGGATTGAGTATTTATATACAGACGCTTAGGGTAAACTCAAGTCTTTTCACATAAATGTCAATTTATTAAAAAAAAGTACATAAATACATAGATGATCCAGTAATAATTTTAATCAATGTTGTAATCAGTCTTTTCAGTAGACTCCTATGACAAGACTCTAAAAGTCCATGATATTATTAAAATATACATTCAAGTCTTGGATTGTGGGACATCAGACCAAAGGTGAGATAAAATTTGAATACCTGTCTCAAAGTGTTGTCTCTTAAGCCATACAGAAAAGGACTCAAAAATTTGGGGAAAATAATAAGACTGAGAAAAAGTATATACTGAACATGACTGGATGCGGTTGTATCTACGGACCAGTGGCTCTCTGGTTCGACCATGTTGAACAGGAGCGATAGAAGACACAGGCACAACTGGAAGAAGTGGAGCAACAGAGTGCGATGGGCCTTATGGGCATTTTCCACTTCAGATGAGGCTATTTTCACAGTGATCAAGACAGCGACATATGTGAAAATAATAATAAAGCCCACCATTACAAAATATATGGATATGAAAGTTACATTTACAATAGAACGGGTCTGCAGTCGGAAGATGCTGTTCTTGTGACAAGTGACTGGTGACAAAGGGAGCACCTCCTTCTCATGACTGACAAACAGCAAACACTGTGTGAGGGAGTCAAAGGAGATGACAGTCCATACAACAGTGATGGCTACCATGGTCCTCTTTGTTGTGGCGATGTTAGCATGCCTTAGAGGGAAGCGAATAGCGACGTATCTCTCCAAAGACATCACGGCCAGATTTAAGGGTGATATTTTAACACAAGCTATTGCCAATAAAGTGACAGCAGTACAAACGGAGAAGATAACCCTGACCTTCGCCGCAGCAAACAAATACAGTGTCAAAGAGGCTACGAGCTGGAGAGAATCAGTGTAGAGAAGATGGGCAAAAAGCATGTAACGAGGAGATTCCCGAAAATAGTGCTTACTCATCAAGGCGTACAGCATAACTCCGTTAAAATAAATGAAGACGAGACCTGGCAGAATGGACAGCAGAAGTTTGACAGGTATGGACTTGGCCAACTCTGCTGTTTCATTCATGACCAAGGCTTCTTTATCAGCTGTAAAAAAAACAGATAGTTCAGTGTTTAACAGCCAACACAGTAGGTTGTACTGTGTCTAATATATGTTTTTTTATTTTATTGCTAATCCCTTTAGTCAACATATCACAGATCAGCTTAGTAAAATAGATTTATAGAATTATAAATAGTAAATAGTAGTAAACACATTCAGTCAAACAAGTAAAGTAAATCATGGGTAATATAGTATAAGATAGACAAATATATTTAATGTCAGCTGTATACATGAAATATATGTCAAATTTACATTCAAAGTACATAAAGTACACAAAGGACATAAATTGTTTGACATGATAAAAACCCTATGCAATTTTAAACAGTTACAAACTCCAAATATAAATAGAAATATATTTTCTAATAGTTCATTAATGTACAATAAAAGAATGTTATATATTCTTGTATTGTACAAGGAGTCTGAACTTACCTCGGTCAGCAGTCAACAGTAACTATTTCTCTCTTGGACACATCCTTTAAAACAGTTTCATGCCTAGTGACATCATCGCCTTGGTTTGTTTCATAACCTATCAGAGTTCTGTGTTAAGTTTCCCCCTGGAGAGTATGTCAGAATCAGAATCAGAATCAGCTTTGTTGATTATAAAAGTACAGTGAAAATTATTATTATATATTATTTATTATTATTTTTTGGTGTATTTAAACATTGAGAGCACTCTATGGATAGAATAAGAAAGAGTATGGAAAAGCAACATTTTTATAAAATAATAACCAACTACATGTATATTAGACCCAATTCCCTATTTAAAGAAATATTCCAATTTATTAATTTAAACCTTCAAATTAATTAAAATGATCAAACTGGTTATGTACAGAAACCACACACAACTGCTGTAATCAAACCCTTGGTTAAAAATACTGCAAAAGAGTCTGAAACCTTGTCAAATTTTAGACCGATATAGAATCTCCATTCTGTGACGAAAATCTCGTCTCAAATCAGGATTCAGATCACACCGTAGTACAAATACAGCACTAGTTAAATAAGCATAGTTAACTTAGCCGTGTTAGCTTTGTCCTGCATTCATACAACCAACTTTAGAATAAGTTCAACCCAGATAAACTACACATCCCAGCCTAATCCCTTGGTGTTTCCCTTAATGACAATTATCTTTGAAACTAATAGTTTGTTTTGTTTTGTTTTTGTACATTACATATTTGGACATTTTGAAAAAACAAAAATGTAAAGATTTCAGCCAGTCCTCCTCCCTTGAAGACAATTTGCAACAGTCTTAATCACCAGTGAGGAAGATGTTTATTTTGACAAGTGACGGGATTTCATAGATACATACATACATACATACATACATACATATGTATATATATAAACATTTAAATGCATATATCAAAAAAGACGTCTTTGGTGAGGTTCTTTGTAAAGGGATTAAATCCCACAGAGGAGAGATTTTAGCTGCAGTTCTACAGTACTGATTTCATTGTAATTGTTTTTATTGAGTTAATTTTACTCACTTTTTAAAAACTTTAAATTATTCTTTGGAGTGTTTATATTATTTTCCTTCACCCTATACGGTGTCATATATTCCTATGATTCAAGTTAAATGCTCCATGTACTTCAACTTTGTTTACAAGTGGTTCAGCAAATTGAGCCCTTGGAGAAACCTCCTTTCATTAAGGCAGATTAATCATTTAGATGTTTGTTTACATTCAGTCCGACCCGTTGCTTCATCTCTTCCCCAGAGCGTCAATTAAACACCTCATTTTATTCCTTTGACTGCACCAGAAACACAAAGAAAACACTTTATTAATAATTCATGTACTTTGGAAAACTGCAGTTTAGTTTTGATTAACTCTTTGTTTTTGTCAACATGTTGACAACTGACTCTAAGTAAAACCCTGGGTGCTCAGCCCTAGCTCGGTGTAAGACAAATTCTAACCACAATTTTGTAAGATTATATCTTACAGGTATATAGAATTTTTTATAGAAAATGTAAGTTGTTAGGGTAATACTTGCTCTTTACATTTTTCAAATAATAATTAAAAACAAGAACGCTTAACTTTATTTTAGCCTCCTGTCTTCAGATCCGTTTTTCACAGCAGTGCAAGTCGTTACATGCAATTTGGTAGATTTGAGACTGTTCTCTGACCATCCAATCAAATCCCTCAAACCGCCATTTAACTCCGGGTCAACTAAAAGGTCTTGCAATGACACCAGCTTGATTCCAACGTAAAATCTGATTGGTTAAAAAAACAATCTAATTGCCATTCATTTTCAGCTCCCAGTGCCCAAACTACTGATTCTGAAGGCCTTAGGGCAGATTTCTTTTTCAAACTACCAACACAAAGGACTGAGATATGATGGTTTAAAGAGCTCAATTATATGAGACTGAGGAAATGCAATTACCACCACTGATTATAAACTGATGAATATTTCTCTGTGTTGGGGCAGAGGTCTGGACAGTCATTTTCAATATTAGTGATGGGGACAAATAGTTGTATGCTGCAATTGTGTGAAAATGTGTGTGTAATTTATTCTAATTTACTCAATGATAACAGATAAGCTGTATAAATTCCACTGACCTATAACACAGAACAGACAACTGACAGGTGTTTGTTATTCTCCTTTTATTACTGCTCTAATGTTAGCATTGCAGGCACATTTACAATGATTTCAAAATCTCTAAATGAAACGTGATTAAAAGAAGAAATGAACAATTTGGAAATTCAAATATATATATAAATATTGTAAAAAGGAAATGGTGAACATAATCCTTGTTTGAATATTTAAATAAGACCATGGCAAAAGGCAAAATATCTACATCAACTGAATGGCAACAATGACCTTGTATCAATAATAAATTAGGTTTATGTGAGACTGTTGGATGATGTCGAGTCATGTCGTCGGCTGGACACATTTCAACTGAAAACTGGACACTAGCTGTAGAAAACAGGAGAAAAGAAATTAGAGATAATCATAAAACTCAAAGCTTCTGTTTAATATCATCATATAATGAACCGAAGCTGTAGCTTCAGCGAACAAGATGAAGTTTGGGTTTTTTAGTTGTAGCTTAATGGTGCATTTGACCACCAGATGTCATTAAAGAGTGCTGAGGTGAAAAGCTTTGAATACTCCTTAAACCCTTTGTCGAAAGCTTTATTTGGCCGTCACTAACTACTGTGGTAGTCTCACGGCTAAAAGGTATAGCTGTGTAAATATATGTAAATATGTAAATATTCACTCACCACAAAATACCTTCTTTGAACTCTGTGAATTTGTGTCGCACCATAAATGTTGCAAGGGCATCTGCTACCTAACAAAACAGAATAACAGCTTTGTAAAAAACACAACACACACACACACAATTCATTCAGACCAAACTGCAAAATGACCATGAACCAAGTGTGTGAGTTACTTTTTCAGGCGCATCCTCGTGGACAGCGTGACCACACTGAGGCAAGACCTGCATCTGAAACTTCCCTGTGAACAAGCACAAAATCAGATGTGAACCAACTCGTGTCCTTTTTTGCTCCTTGTTGTTATTATTATAGTAGATATCTACTATATCCATCCCCTGGTTTTCACTATTTTGGATTAGTCCAACACACAGACAGGTCTAGTGGTTTGTTGAATATGTATTTTGAGTGTTTCATTTACAGGGAGTTCTCCTCTGACATGTCAAAGACGTGGACAGGATGTCTCTGCAGGATAAGGTGCCACCTACCTTGCATCTGCCCAATAGTAAGGTCTTTGTCAAGTCTGTCCACTCCTGTACAACAGAACAGATTCAAGTTAAATGCCCAGTAAAGAGCTGAACGACCTTTATATGGATGGATGGATGATCGCTTCTTAATGAAATATAACCTAGATTTAACATGGGTGTGTTCAACCTCCAGCTTGGTCCATTTCATTTAAATAAACACAACAATGTTTGCTGAAACTCAAATATGGTACATACAATAATGTGGTTTGGACACATACATCGGAAGTCTGTTTGCATTTATTGTCGGACTTTCACTCCCCCGTTTTGACCCCAAAGCTATTTATATTATTGCCTGAATCAAAACTGAAAATTGTTAAATCTATCCAAACATGCTAAGTGTTAACCTAGCCTATTTTTCTTGCACGCTGCTTAAAATACAGTAGGTGAGAGAACCTGCAAGCAGAAGCAGTTTTGGAACAGGGCAGGTGAGAAAGAGTGAGGAGAGGCCTCTGAACCAGCCATCCCAGTATTTCTCCGTCTTGGACAGCTCCACTCGCCAAGTAAACACGCTTTCCTTTTTAACCTGTGTGGTAAAAAAAAAAAGCTATAATGACATTTCTTACAACAGAGAATCACACTGCTACTGTCACGAACAGAACAGCACCTCCTGGTCATCCTCCTTCATTCGTTTCTTATTGGACGACTCTTCTTCTTCTTCATCAGCTTCCTCTTCAATTACAGCTTCGCCGATTGAATCCGAGACTCCTGGGCTGCTACAGGACTCCTCACATCTGTGAATGGCAGAACAATGTAGACGAAATATGAACTCATTCAGTACTAGAAGGGATTATTTAGGCTCCTAAACTTTTTAGCGAGTGAACCGGATGAATGGAAACAGTCAATAACAATGACACCATCACTCTACTGTATGCCCCTCCCATCAATGAAATATAGGCACATATACATACTTTTTCACTTGGCCTCCCATTGACACCCTCGCTGACTCTATATTTCGAATCTGGCCACTCTTCACGCTGTTAGAAAAAAAAAAAAGTTAAAGTCCAAGAAAAATTTGACCAAGTGTGGGAAACCAAGTCACTGTAGCAATGAAAGAAAGGGTTCATTTCTTTACCTCCACTCAATGGCGTTCTCCAAAGATTTAAATGTTTTCGGACGACATCTGAGAAAATTCTGCATACTGTTCAAAGCATCCATTGCTGTACCTAAAAGCAGTTCACAAATAAATTGTTCAGTATTTCATTAGTTTTATTAATAGTGTAAACTGGATGGAAGGTTAGATACTCAAGTGTCGTGGGTGCATTCTATAATCTGGTAAAAACTGTTATAATCTATTAATAATTTCAAAGGTTTTGGCAATTTTTCTCCCTTACAATTATGAATGGAAATATTTATTTTATCATTCTTTTAATAGAAAAGGGCATCTACCTTCAACAACATCAATGACACAGAGGCCTAGCAGGGAGGGTATGTGATTGGCAGCGGCTGTGTGGACGGCAATGGCTCCACCCATGCTGTGTCCGATAATCATGATTGGTGGAGGGTTGTCCCCGTAGAGCAACTCCACAACTTTGCCAACATCCCTAAAACAAGATAACATCATTTATGTACGTTGCAATAAAATCAATTTTAAAGGTTGACTAGTTACCAGTATTCTAGGAACAAACTAACCAACCAGATAACAAATCACTCATCAACTCATCACTCAACAATATAAATGTGTTCTGTTACCTCAAAGTTCTGATACCAAGTTGTTTAAGTATGAACTGTCACTGTCCACACTACACACTTGGAAACTTACTTTGCCATCATGTTTGCAGAGAGATCTTCTGGTTGTTTCACTTCAGTGTCACCTGTAAGTCAAAAGCACATTTTAAATGCAGTTAAAATGTGCAGAAAGATTCTGTTTCTGTAAGCTTCTGTAGTGAATATATATTTACCATGAGCTCGAAGGTCCATAGCCACCACCCTGCAATTGATCCGACTGCATATGACAGACTACAGAAAGACAATCATAACAAATGGTAAATGTCTTACTGCTTCAAAAATATTTGGCTGATGAAAAAAAAAAACACATAAAGGCTTCTGAACTAAAAGTCATGCTTACAGTGAAGACCGCCCAGGAGAGTGCAGAGTGGCCTCCTCCATGGAGAAGGAGCAGCACAGGACCACTGGAGCCACTGCAGTAGAGTCTGAAAATGTTCAGTGAAGTTACGGAAACAAAAACAGGCTCAAAGTTTTTTTAACTAACCATGGATAACATCCAGCTCGACATTATGACATTATTGGAAAAAAACTTAGCAAGGATATATCCTTCCCATTCTCGTTTTCCACCTCCACATCTTCCATGGTTTCAAAGTAATGGCTCCAGGGCAGGGGGCTGAAGTCTCTTTTTCGTCCAGGTCTGTATAAACACAAGTGAACAGGCAACATACTGTATGAAATAAAGTCACTCTGAGTAGAAAGAAGGGTACATGTCTAGCACAGAATATAACGTGTGAATTTTAGATGGTTTCAAAGGTAAATCAACACAGAGCCAAGATTTTTCAATTAGTGTCACAATTTGCCAAAGTTTCAGTCTGCCCTAAAAGTATAGGAATCACAACAATCTTGCAGGAGATCAAGATTTCTGCCTTTAATATCGCAGGCTGGTTTAGTAAAGGGTAGCAGTGTTGGATTTATTAAATAGGGATAGTCCAATCATCGTTGGATTGAACTGTGGATGAAGCTGAAAACTGTACAATCAATGCTACTGCGACAACAATGTTGTTGTGCATGTAATGTATAGCTTACTGCATATACAGTATGTACCACGGAGAAAGCACAGTCACAATTTGTCATCACGGCGCCGATAACCATTGATACATAAACGTGCGTTAATTGCCTTAAAATATTTTGTTTGAGAATAGTGCATCATTAAGTACACTTCACTTTGGAAACTAACTTCCTTGACCAGGATAACAGGGCGACCGTTTGTTTTTTAGCCATACTAACGCACGAAAAATAAAGAACTTCCTTGCAAAAACACGGGGTAACGTTCGTTACCAGTAAATTATTTGCGGAATATGCCAGAATAGAACAGAGAGGACTGACAACCTGTTATTGACTTGCTAACTCACCCCATTTTCATCTTAGAGCTGGACTGTAAACCACCTGCTATAGGGGGTCTGGAGGCTAACAGGTTCAAATGCAATTGTCTCTCCATCTGTAAATCTGTCACGATCTATTCAATGACACTTCTCCTCTCATTCGCAGCAAAGAACTATAGCTAAACACCAGGGACGATGAACGACGAACACTGAATTGTGCTAGCATACGCCAAACTAGCTCTAGCTGAATGCTAACAGCTGATACTGGTGAAGTAGTTGCCCATTCAAATGGCTGCATCCTACAGCCTACGCAGCCACTGCACGACCTGCGTCGCTTGCCTGATCTGCGTCACTACCGTTTGCGCATGCTCATAGGCGCCATCTTGGATAGATCAAAACGGCTACTCCACTTGGACAAACTTCACTCGAGTTCAGTAATGCGAAGCCACCTAGAGGCTCACCGTCACTGCCCAATTACAGTTGGACATGAAAGGTCGAGCACCACGTCATTTTAATACAATCATCACACAATCAATGTTAATAAAAGAAAAACAGTTGTTCGACCTATCTTTGCGTTCATGTTGGATGATACTGGCCCCAATAAAAAGTGAAACCATCGTCAGTCTCAGTAACTTCACTTCAACACGTCAGTAACAAAACATTAATTTTTTTAAACAAATCACAACACAGCTATGTATACTTCTTAAGTAATCATTAAAATAAATTTCCAAAATAATTTACATAATATGAGAACCGTTTATCTCTCAAATTGATGCTTTGCTTTGTTTAGTGCTTTGAACTTTTTGTAACTGCAGCTAATTTCCCTCTGGTGCTGAGGATGGCACACGTTCTGTCAAAGTTTGGCTCAACGTAAAAGAAAACACTTTAAAAAAACCATCAATTCAAGACTAGATTCTCATGATATACTGGGTCCTGCTTGTGTAAATACTATTTAGATCAACGGAAACAAAAGGTACGATCTTACGTCTGTAAGACAAGCGGCTATTTCATTTCCTAACACATGATGGCAGTACAATCATTTTGTCTGACCCAAATTTGTTGGGTCATACACACTGTTATTAATTACTTAATGGACGTTTATTAAACACATTTTTGCATATTTGTGAAAATATTCACAGATCTCTTTTTATAACGTTTACCTTGAATTATAAAAAGAATAAAATTAAAATGACTTACATTAAATTGTTCAGCCACAATTGTCCAGTTCAACCTGTTATTGTCTTTAAAGTTTATGCTCATTCTGCCCTTTTCTCTTCTTCTGTTTCACCTTTCATTTTTCTTCTGCATTCTTACACCAATTTTGTAATCCTAATGTCGTTGGTCTCGTGTTCAAATATCATTACTTTCAAAAGAAAAATGCACACAACACCATTTAATTTATTATTTGATTTTTGTATGTATGGGTTTGATTAATCATGAATAAAACCTTTAATTGTAGCACAGCACTAGTAACACATTTTCATCTAGGTTGTCGGTGTCGGAGTTACAGAAGCAAATCCTTTTAGTAAAAATAAGTTTGTGTCTAAGTTAAGTGTCTGCTAAATGTATTGTAATGTAACGTAATCATCAAGCTTTCTTCAATTAATATTTTCCTGGTAAACATGTGCCTAAACAAACACCACTGTGGACAACTGTGCTCCACTAACGTCTCAGTGACGCAGTCTGTGGCTAATTATAGACCATTCACTTATAGCCGAACACAAACCACAACTGATTGAAGGTTCCACGAGCTGTACGTCACAGCAACGAGTCGCCTGGCTGTTCGCCATGTAAATTCTTCATAGGCTGTAGGGAAGGTCACTTCAAACTGGTTGAAGCTAGACCAGTGATTTGTTTACCAGCCAGACTGCATCTTTAAAGGTTACTTACACTGTGTTCCCAGTAAGCTGTTTATAGTTCTGAGACCAAAGAGAGCAGGTGGTGTGAGCGGGTCCTCGCTCTTTACTTTCCTTGTTGAGGCTGTTATACATGGAAGTTTATCTTTTCTGTAGCTCGGTCACGTCAGTCATAGAGTATTGAAAACATGTGTGAATATCAGACCTTCAGTTTTGGTCATTCCCCAGATTCTCATGGCAGCTGTAGGACTGGTCTAATACCACTTTATCTCCACCTCATGACAATCTTTAGTATCTGATTCTTACTCTGTTATTGACACATTTTAATAGCTTGCTATATTTTTATTCTAAAACATTATATATATAAAAAAATGCACAGCCAAATATTAAAACTTTTGACACACTGAATATACTTATATTGACTATTATGACTGTAATTAGTGTAAAATTGTGTGGCATTTTTGTTAAAAACAAACAAGTACATAGTGTTAAGACAAAGTCCTCCTGGAATATGGAGCAAAAATAACTTGAGATGTTCTTATGAGCACTGTGACGAATGTTACAGCGGAACAGCAGGTGATTGGACATTTAGTTTGGCAGTGAACTGTTTTGCTCCGTCAACTCCATGACTTCTTGCATAAGCATGGTGAGGAGCATGACCTAAAGGTGCAACGGAAAGTCACATGGCTCAGTGGCATGCACGCTGAGATAAACATTTATGTATGTCGTCAGCTTTTCTAAACCTACACACACACACCTACTCCCTCTCACACACCCACTCTCTCTCTGTGTCTCCTTTCATTCTAAATATATGGATACAACAAGAAGAGACTTATGTCAGACGCCCCTCTTGGTAATTAATGACTTTTAAAATCCCTATTGGGATACATTTATGGTTAAATGTTGCGAATCTTCCAAGCAGCCAATATTGTAGAACACACACGACTCACTGTGCAAATACACATTCACAACAGGTCCCTGTTCAAAGAGAGGTAAATGACATTTAGCTAAAATTTGAAAAGTAAATAATATAAAATGTAAACACTGCCAAACCTGAAGACAGGAAGGTTGTAGAGCTAAAAAAAAAGCTAAAATGTTAACATTTTTTAATACTTTTATATTCATCTCTGAACTATGCAATGGTCTCAATGAATTCCTAGATTGAGACTGTATTGGCAAATCAAGGTTCATCCAAGTTTCACTTGGTCTGTCAGATGGATATTTAGTAAACAAAGAATCAGATAACAGATGCTTGCGTGCTGCCTTGTGTCATGTGCACAAGGTGTCTATGACTCCCTGGGTTTATCAGTCAGTCTGACAGTGAAGGAATAGCAGGACCAAATGACAGTCAGAGGTTTAACCATCTTAAAGGATTCAACTTTCTTTCCTCGATATCGGATTATACTATTTATTGGAAAATTATAAAGGTAAACACGGACTTTACAATTTTGTGTGCCATTTTTCTTTTTTTTTTTCATTTAAATGACCTGCATACTGTCAGAGTAGATGGATCTGTGGTTTGAGTTTAAACAGTGACATAAATAGTCCAAAATAGACAAAAGGTGACAAAACAACCGTTCTGCTAGTTTCTATTTACTATGGAGGATACGTTTTACACATGACATGTTAGCTTTCAAATACTGTATGAAATTTTCTAGCAGATGTGAACATTCACTCACTACTATAAATACCCTGTTATTGCAGCCTTTCTTTAAAGGGGAATGTGTGGAACCAGAAGCTACAACATTAAACGTTCTCAGTCACTGTGTTGTGGGCATTTTGGTAACAAACTTGATAAACTATTATTTCTCCACAATGGGGGAAGTTTACAGTGTGATTCTTTGCCACAGGAGACTCTGTGAGGCATATGTGGTTCCTATGGGAATTGAACCGAGAACACACACTAACAGCTACACTATAGAACAGGGTGTTAAACTCATTTTCACCAAGGGGCTACATCAGCAGTACAGTTCCCCCTGAAGGGCCGACGGTCAATGGCAGATTGTTTAAATGTAACTATTCCATAATGTATTAATAAATGGTTCTACAATTGATTATTATTTATATAAGTTACAAAATTTAAATACTTTTTAAGCTCCCGCGGTACAAAATGACTTGAGGAGCTGCATAAAGGTTCTAGTTCTCTGCATCCTCTTTTAATACTCAAAACAACAAATGATCTGTACACGCCTTTAGCTTTGGGCAGTCTTTATCTAAGAAAGGCTACTGCACTCATGCAGAATGTGTTGTACTGAGGACACGTTTCTGTAACACATCATACAAGCGGTACTTCCTCATCCCTCTGCCTACGTCTTATTACTAGGCTAAAAGCTAATACAAAATGAACCTGTTGATGTCATAAAGAACTGTTTTCTTCTGAATTCAACATCTGACGAGTTAACCCAATTTCATGTTGTTCTGATTTGTTCCATGCATGTTACTAGAAGAGGTGAAGAAATGGTCGGCATGAAACCCACAGAAGTTGTTCCCTCTGCTGGAATCAAGTTCTTTGGCGCCGGAATAGCAGCCTGCATCGCTGACCTAGTCACCTTTCCTTTGGATACTGCTAAAGTCAGGCTGCAGGTTAGATGTACACCGCTATAAAGGACACGTTTATATTTCTTTGTAATGTTTTAAGATACTGATTATGTTTAAATGTCACTCCTGTATTCAGATTCAAGGAGAGTCTAATAAAGCCCATGGTGCCAGTACGACAAAGTACCGAGGAGTATTTGGAACCATCACCACCATAGTGCGCGCAGAGGGGCTCCAAGGTCTTTACAATGGGCTGGTTGCTGGTCTGCAGAGACAGATGAGCTTTGCATCGGTTCGAATCGGTCTTTACGATTCCATGAAGCAGTTCTACACTCGAGGCAGTGAAAGTGAGTGTTGTTTTCATTCATCAATCAAAAATGTAACTCAGGTTCAGAGGTGTGTATGTCTATTCAAACAGACTGGTTCACAACAGTGTCAATGTTAGGGTGGTCATTGTGACTGGTGTTCATTTTTATGCTCAGATGGTGGGATTGTAACACGCCTCATGGCTGGCTGCACCACAGGAGCCATGGCTGTGGCTTTCGCTCAACCTACAGATGTGGTGAAGGTGCGTTTCCAAGCCCAGGCGCGAGTGGCCAATGGTACCAAGAGATACAACGGCACTCTGGATGCCTACAAGACTATTGCCCGGGATGAAGGGATAAGAGGCCTTTGGAAAGGTATTAGTCCGTTTTAAGTTCTTAATTAAACTTTATGCATGTGGTCATAAAGGTGTTTCGAATGTCTTAAACAAAACTTGAACATTTATTAGATGGGTTGAAATACTACATGTTAGGTTTTCAATCTGAGCTTTACAAGCTTTGGTTAACTCTGTATTATTATCATTTATTTATTTATTATTATTCAGGGGGATAGAAGAATATACATAGAATCCACCACGACCTAAGTGTTTAATACTCTGTATTTCTTTCTTTCAGGCTGCATGCCAAACATCACACGTAACGCCATCGTTAACTGTGCAGAGCTGGTGACATATGACATGATCAAAGAACTCATTCTGAAGTATGATGTGATGACAGGTGAGACCATTCATCATTTGTTTTTATTTATTCATTTCACTGTCTTTGTGACAGTGAAGTGAAAGTATGTGAAAGTATGTGTGTGTGTTTCACACTAGCTCTATTTAACATGTTTAGCTACATTAACTACAAAAAACCTCTTCAGGGTTATTTATAGGTGTCGAAGTTGTGCTTTTCTGACGTGTCTGCTTTGCTACAAACAAATACAAAACCATGGTTATGGTAAATCAATGAAAAGGAATGCAGATCATTTTAAATCTCCTCAGTTAATGTTTGTAAAAGAGTATTCAATGTCTGAGGTAACTGTTTATCAGTGTTACATTGCAACAAACATGGTGTAAGACTGAGAAACAGGATTTTCCCTCAAAGACTGCAGAAGAATGTGACTCTACTGTTGCTTCCACACAGACAACCTGCCCTGCCACTTCACCGCGGCCTTTGGCGCAGGCTTCTGCACAACAATCGTGGCCTCTCCTGTGGATGTTGTCAAAACACGGTTTATGAACTCAGCAGCTGGTCAGTACCGCAGCGCCGTTGACTGTGCCTTAATCATGTTGAAAAATGAAGGACCCATGGCCTTCTACAAAGGGTAAAGATGGACACAGATCAGAGTGAATCGTAGAACAATCCAGAACTTGCAGCACTGTTTGACTGTGCTTTTCTGTCTTTAGGTTCACACCTGCTTTCTTGCGACTGGGCTCCTGGAACATTGTGATGTTTGTGACTTATGAGCAGATAAAAAGAGGTATGATCAGGGCACAGCAGCACTGGGAGTCTCCGCTATGACTCTAGTTCATCTAATTTTTCAAGACGTGCTTGGAGATGGACGATTACCATTATTTAAGAGACGTTTTTTAACAGAAGCTTGGATTCAGGCATCATCTTCACATTTCTGACTCTCACAGTTCCCCAAGGAATATTGACAATTTGATTGTCGTGTCAGAACGAGAAGCAACGGAAAGTCACTTGTCTCCTTAAATAAATGTGACAGGGATGGGGAATGATTTGTTTTAGCTCAGCTCATTGATCAGATTTCAGTTTGATGTTTAATGTTCAGAATACAGAACAGTGGTCTGCAGCTCTTCTCTCTGCTATTGACCAGTTAGTCTTGCTTTGTGTGGTCTTGTTGTCAATCTTTACATTCCTAATATTTATTAATGAAACCCCATTCACTTTTATCTGATTACTTGTTATTTTCTCATCCTAACGTCGATACTCTGCCCAACTTTGACTGTTATTTGTGTTGTTTAGTGTTGACATCTTGGATTCTTTTCTCTCTTTTCTGTTTTGTTCATTTAGTTTTGACTGTTTTATGTTCTTTAACATTGCTTTTAATGTTCCTAATGTTGTTTCTTAACCTAATATTTTATAGCCTCCTTACTGAAGCCTTTTTAAATTGATGTCACTACCTCCATGTTTAGAATTTAGGACATAATGTAATTGTGTTATTTTTCAACTGCATTTTTAAGTTACATGCTGTGATAAGACAATGTCTGTTTGAACTCAGGATGCCAAATGAAGAGGTGCAAATTAGTCTGGATTTCTGAAAAGTCCGGTGTGTTTTGACACCGGGGCTTCTCTTGTACAATCTACAGATGTGTGTATTAAATGATCCCCCATTTGTAAATAAAATAAAAAGATTTACAGACTCTTTTGTTCGATGCATTGTTTTATGTTGTGTTGCTCAGATATCAGACTTTGGTTAGTTGAAGTCCAGGGTGTCTGTAAACTAACATGGAAACATAAACAACATAAACAAGGATGTCTTAACTTACACTTCCAACAGCATATAAAGAATGGTTTGTAGAATTTATTCAATCTAAAATACAATAATATATGTACATACACAATAAGTTACAAGAAAAGCAGAAACGTCTGCATGGTGAAAAACTAAGAGTAAATTTGCTAATTTACTAAACCTGAAAATCTAAAGTACAAACGCTACAGTTTTCACTTTAGATTTTGAGTATGTCAGTTGCTCCACTCATTCTGTCACCTAGGCACAGCTAAACTACAGTTAGTGTTAAACAATGTCAGATTTTGTGAACGTCAGACTACTGCGGAGGTTGTGGCTAACAAGTAACAGCTGTGGTCATGGTAAAAACCAAAATGTCTCAAACAGCAATTTCATTTCTGTGTTTCTTTAGTCATGTCTGCCTGTCCTGCACATCAGATGACTCAGAGGCCTGGCCATGTTCTCCACATGTAAGATTAGCAGCGGCATTGAAGGAATGTATGTCCATGTTGATGTCAGCCAATGAGAGCAGGGAGGATGGGATTGGTCTGAAGGACAAGTGGTTCTCCTTAAAGTCACAGTTCCTTCAATGTTTCGTTTTTTTCTTCGGGATACGTTAAAGACCTTTCTTGAATTGAGGAAAGTAAAGTTGAGTTCTGACATCACAGAGAGACTCTTCAGTTCTCGTATGTGCAAAACATTTTAGGCTGTACCATGTGTCTTTGTGAATTTCTCACAGAGATCACATCCTGGTTGGCTGACACCTCTGGAGACTGCCACAGAAACCAGTAGAAATGCTTCCCTGCACAGACTGCAGGTCAGGGTTTGTTCAGTAAGTTTATAGAGGCATTTCATGCCATCTATATTCCTATTATTGGAAACCTCCTGGATTATCATAGATTCCTCCTATATTTCTTAGACTTACCCAGTATCTAGGGTTCATGACTTCAGAGCTTTTTTGGTCAGATACCTTTGCTCCGGTGAGAGCTTTTCAGGAAACTGGATGTCAAAGGTAATGATGAGGTTTCCTTTTTGTACAGAGTCCTGGAATAGAGGCATTCCTTCTCCAAACACTACTTTTTTATATGAAGGACTGATGAAAAAAAAGAGAAAAGATACGACTTATACACTGGATATTTAGAATAAAGTCAACATTGACAGTCTCCACGTGCTGTTACAGACAGTTAACCTCAGCTTTTTCCTAATGAGTCACATCCATATTCCTATGTACGTGTCTATACTAAGCTTAACTCTTCGTGTCGTTGTCGACTTACTGCACAATGTCGTTGATGGGTATAGTAAGTATTCTGCCATCCAGTGTCTTTACATCCACAGAGAATCCAGTCAGAGCCTGAGGGAGAGGATGCTTTGTTTTAATGCTTTTTTTAAAAAAAAGAAAAACGGGTGGGCAAACAGTTCTACAAAGGGGCCACTGTGGCTGCAGGTTTATGTTCCAACCAAGCAGCAGCACACCTGACTTGACTAATTTAATCAACTAATCTGCGACTTCAGACAGCTGATTGGTCAATGCTCTGGATCGCTTGGAAGAAAACCCTGTAGCCACAGCAGCCCTTTGAGGACCAGTTTCCCTTCTCCAGACAAACGTTTGAACCCCAATCACTCACCATCTCCAGAGAAATGCGGGCTGTGTAGATCAGGTCATTGTCTTCTCTAACAAACCGAGGATGAATCTTCTGAACCACTATGAACACAATATCTGCAGGGATGTTGTTCGGCCCCTGAGAGCAAATATCAGCAGCATGAATGTAAATCAATCAGGATCTTTTCATATTTTAAGCTCAGAGTTAGCACACCTTCAATAGAGCATGTGTGTTCTCATCAGTTACAATTTAGTTTAATCTTGTCCCTCGAATGAGTTCAAGCAATGTTTAACGTTTATATCTTTTTTTAGAAAGAAAGAGTTAATCTGGTCATTTTGACCAAAGTACATTAAATGAAAACATAATAAATCAATCTCTTTTGCCTGATCTCCCTCCTTGTTGAAGATGATCCGTGTGCCTTCCTTCCATCCAGGTTTGACATCTATACAGAGAACCTTCTTTTTGATGCTTGAAATTTCTGAATCATCAGCCAATTCCTGGAAAACAATATAATAAATACCATTTCTGAATTCTTCAAATTGAAAAACTAAAATAATATTTTGATGCTTTATCAGGCATCTGTGACTAGCCCACCCTGCGAGAGATCTCTATCCGTTTTGTGCATCCGTGGTAAAGCTCCTCCAGGGTCAGCTGGAGGTCCTTCTCTACCGGGGGGTCTTGTGTCTTGAGCACTACCTGCTTCAGACCACCCAACCTTAGTGGTGCGTCAGTAGTGTGAAAATCTAGTAGTGAAAGAAAATGACACATTTTTGCAAATGATAAATCAGCTGCTAAAAAAGGAAGTGGTGTAGACTTTTGGCTATGAATTTTCTCACCTGAAAATGGGTTGTTTCCTCCAAAGAACTGCCTGAATGTTTTCTCCGGTTGACCATGGTAGGTATATTTCGATGACCATGCTCCACCTGCGGCATACTCTGTTGGAATTCCACCTTTCAGACCCTCTTCACCAAACTTGTCATATGTAGCTTTCTTACAAGCTGTAATCACACAAACACAAACACATCTGCAAATGTCCATGTGATGCTCTCCACCTGCTAATCACTTCACCAAGAAATATTCACCTCAGATTTAACATCAGGTTGACTTTATTTCTTTTTTTGATTTCGTTGCTGTGTTCACTCCCTGAACAACTTCTACTGGACTATGGCTGTACTAGTATTGACTGTGCAATGACAATAAAGAGTTAGCCTAAGTGTCACGGTCACTCACGGTCACTCAGCACATCGTAGGCTTCACTCAGTTGTGTGAACTTCTCGCTGCTTCCTGCTTCTGTGTTGCTGCTTGGGTGAAACTTCAAGGCAAGCCGCCGATATCTGTGACCATGAAGAAAAAGACACATTTAAGACTAAAAGGAAGAACTGGCACTCACTCAACCTTACCATCCTTCAGAAACAGTATTTGTCAAAGCTTATCTCGTCCTCTGAGAAAGTGGTACTTTTTATTGTGATGACTATTTACTTAGAGAAGGAAAATAAAATACCAAAAATTAAGACAAAGAAAATGTAAATGTCAGAGAGAACAATCTCGACAATTTCACAAGCAAATCAAAATGGTTATTTTGGTGTGGTTAAAAACCTACGCTTTTTTAATATCTGCAGTTGTTGCATTTCTGTTGAGCTCAAGCGTCTCATAATAATCGAAAGACATTTTGGAATTAAGTTGCTACGCAGCTCCACAATCAGAAAGATGTGGGGTCAACATGCTATGAGAAGATGAAAGGCAAAATACAGAACATCACCACAAAGTCCTTTCATGTTGCTAAATAATGTGATTTCGGTCTTGTAGTGTTTTGGAGTTCTTTTCTTCTTCTTTCGTGTTTTAAAGACATGATGGTAAAATGAAACACTGAAGCTTAAATCAAAAAGGCTTCGTTTCCTGAAGCTTTTCAATACAATCATTTTTGGTGGCGTCTAGTGGTTAAAAGTATGAAGCGCAGCTTGAATATACAATCCCTTTGCTCACTCAACAGAGTTGGCTTGAGTTGAGTTGATTGATTCTGTTCAATATTATGTGACAGTACCAAGCAGTTCAAAATTGACGAATGTTGCATTTACAGATCTTATATAAAGTCCAAGTTTATCATATCGAAAAAGCAGCTCGTGTGTCAAACCCTCTCAGTATGAGCTGAGGTTGTCGTAATTGTCATTTTACTTTAGCTTGTTGCCAACTCAAAGTCTGATTGGTTAAAGAAACAACGTCATTGTCAATTTGTGTGGTGTGAAACTGTTAAATGTACCATACTTCATGCCTTTCTTTTGTATTTACATAAACTGCATTTTCTCAACCAGCCGTTAGTCGAAGACAAACAAACACATAAATGTTTATATATATATATATATATATATACGTATGTAGAACTTTATTTCAGAGCCTTCTTTATCAGAAGCTTTTGCTCGAAAGAGAGCTTCTTTGGAAAGTCAATGTCGAAGGTAATGACGAGGTTTCCTCTCTGTGAAGGACTGTGGAGCAGTGGCATTCCCTCTCCAGTCACCACTTTTGTGTAGCTGGGGCTGACAGGTTTAAACAGACAAAATGAAGACAAAAATTAGTGATTAGTTCATGTGATGCACAAACAGAACCATCGGTTACAGAGGTGTCAAACCCATCATGGAAGGGCCAACATTTAAAATGCAGTGTAGGTTGTGGGTCAAACAGGGTTTACAGGATTACGTGTAAATATAAAAACTGCAATGGGGCTATTTTTTTTAAAGTGGACCTAGCACCACCTACAGGTCAAAAGTGAGAGTTACATGTTCAAGAACAGCAAAACTCCCCTTTGGTGCAGAAACACAGTGAGAACAAAGTTCATGCTTAAAGACTCACTGTACGATGTCATTGATCGGGATCCGGAGCAGTCTTCCATCCAGTGTCTCCACCTCCAGAGAGAAGCCCGTAAGAGCCTGAGAGAGAAGCCATTTTTACTGTTCATTCACTTAAAGACGAGGTGCAGATAGCCAATTTATGTCTTTATATATTGTATATATATACATATATACATTTAGATATAATAGGCTTTGACTTCAACAAAATATTGATGTTATAGTTGTAGAAAATTGTAAATACAAACTCAGGATTGACTTACCATCTCTAAAGAAATCTGCATCATGTAAAGAAGATCATCGTCTTGTCTCTTAAACAGTGGATGACTCTTCTGTCGCACTATGAACACGACATCTGCAGGAACATTGTTCGGTCCCTGACAATTAAAATGGACCGAAATTACAACAGGAAAATAAAGATCATTATAAAAGACAACAGCTCGTCCCCGTACCTGATGGTTCACAAAGCTTTCCTCCGTTTTTTAAATGAATTTTATCAATTGTGTTTAAAGTCAACGATAGTAAAATATACTTTAAAATGATAAGACTGTGGTTTCTTTACCTGATCTCCTTCTTTAGAAAAAACAATTCTTGCCCCTTCTTTCCATCCAGGACTCACGTCTATGGATAAGATCTTGTCCTTAATGCTAGACATGTGTCCGTCCTCATTCATAACCTTATCAAACAGAAAATGAGATAAAAAAAACAAGATGTCACACTTTTTATATGTTTTTGACCATAATAATATGGATAAAGTATTAATATTTGACCTTTGCACAGTTAGAATGGCAGTGAGACGTGGAGTCTTACCCTTCGAGATATTCTGATCTTTTTTGTGCCTCCATGGAAGAGATCGCTGAGGGACAGGAACAGCTCTCTCTCTATCGATGGATCCTGTGGCTTTATCACAGCTCTTCTGAGGCCACCCAACATAAGTGGTTCAGCGTTTGAATGCAAATCTAACATCAATTTTGGATATGATATGAATAACAAAACCAAATGTGTATACATTTAAGACTACAAACTGTTAAAGATACTTTGTATATATGCACAAAGAATATTTATCCTACCTGCAAATGGGTTATTGCCTCCAAAAAACTCCCTGAATGTCTTTTCTGGATTCCCATGATAAGTATATTTATTTGACCAATATTGGTTGTTTCCTAACTCAGGTGGTAGACCATCTCTTAGACCCTCTTCACCAAATTTGTCAAAAGTAGCCCTTTTACGAGCTGTAAAAAAAGGAAAAAAAATTAAATAATGAGCAGATTGATGTGCACAGTGTATCCAATAATTCCCTCCAGATATCCACTTATTGTTGCTCTAATACACAGTCGAGCTTAAAATACCATCACACGACGTGTAGTATTGTTACAGATCGTTTACAAAACAGTGAATGTATATATTATATATATTATAGTATATAGTATATATTTCAAAGGTGCTCACGGTCACTCAGAACATCGTAGGCTTCACCCAGATGAGTAAAGGTTTCTCTGCTCTCTGCTTCGTCGCAGTTACATGGATGAAACTTTAATGCAAGACGCCGATATCTGTAGAAATCAAAGAAAAGAGGTGAGGTAGAAAGATTATACATTTGAAATAAAATTTGAAAAAAATTGAAGATGAAAAAAGAAACTATACATATAAGGATATATGATGTAAAACACAGCTCTAACTGAGAACACTGGCTGGCTGTGTGTACGACGGGACGATGAGAAGTCAGTTAAGGACTTACGCTTTTTTAATGTCGCCGTCTGTTGCGTTCCTGTTTAGGTTTAGTGTCGCATAAAAATCCACAGCCATTTCTGAAGAAAAGGAAAAAAAATCTAGACTCGACGTAAAACTCCGCGGTGCGTCCGAGCAGTGTGGATCATCGTTACCGTGGCAACGCGAACACGAGAGCTTCGTCTGGTGATCACTCTCGCGGTAATTGAAATTGTATCAGTATATGTATAGTAACAATTAAGGCACAATAATTAGACCAGAAGGTGAAAAGTATCTTTATTTAAAACCGTATCTGACAAAATCAGTCAAGACAATTATACCATCCTATACAATTGACACTCTTTTCCATAAGTACTCACAAATTGCACATTATTAGCAGAAAGGCCAAACTGCCATTCATTATAGAGCAGCAGACCTCCATGTAGTTGTTCCAGTTGAACGTATGTTGTATTAGTACTGTTGGACATTAGGACAAGTGAACATATTAACAAAGCAAAGATAAAGGAATTAAACCAACATAATAAATATCACCATTGGGGATTAAATATGACTAATCACCAAGAAAAGACAAAATCTATATGAAAAAACAAAGACAGCAAATCTTTAACAATCAAGTGGGCAGTGATTCATCTGTTTTTGAATAGAAAACTTTACAACAATCTCTCAGTAAAATGTAAAAATGTAGAAAGTGACACCTGTTGAACATCTGTTTGAAGGCTCACTGATAATTCTATAGAGAAATGATCAACCATCCAGATTCTGTGAACTATTACATATTTTATCTCTTTCACCTGTTTCACTGGACCTACATCCTTAGGTTTATTATTGCCATGTCCCAACACTTCCCCATAAACCTGGGTAAAACAAAGACAATCCCAACTCAAAATACAATGAAAACTCTACAATTTAAGTCCTACAGTCACACAGGAAATACTTAATGTAGACTTATAGACTAATCATGCCTAACACACTACTATCAAGGTTTTTAAAAACTGTAATTAACATAGTCCTTGGACTAAACGCAACACCATACCAGTGGACCAGCTGTGTGACTGAAGACAATCATTTAAATGATGGGAGCTTGTCTTGATGTTGTGCCACCACATGCATTTTGGGAAACAAGGCAGCAGTGGATTTTCTCTCATTTAAACATGTGACTTTGTATTTGTAATAACACAGTTTGGTCCAGACATATTCACGACGGCTGGAGTTGATAGTGAGGATGAAACATGTAGTATTGTGTCAATGGGTTATCTGTGTGGTTAGGAGGCAGAGACGGAACCAGCAGGTGCCATTAGCAGGAGCAGCCTCCTTCAGTGATAGGTTGATCCAGTGTTTTCTCTATCTTAATGTCGATCACTGCAAAGTTTAAGAGTCAAGGAATATCACAGACATATATATGTACGTATCCATTTACACCCAGAATACTCCTTGCATAAAACTGCTGTGCACAAACACTTTATAATAAACTTTATAATAATAATAATAACATATATATATATATATATATATATATATTATTTGATACTTAAATCTGTGACTTGCATGCAGTGGTTTTCAATTGTAATTGATTTGTGACTGGTCAGAAAATGTGGCAATAAATCCATTTCCAATACGGGACTATATGGACACAAATATTGAAAGAAAAGGATACTGTCCTCTTTACTCTTGTCCTGTGTGGTATCCATGCCAGGGAGGGCAGCTGCCACACGACGAAAAAGCTGCAGGAGAGAAAGACGACGCATGAATACTGATTTTCTAATATTTACAGGCCGCGGAGCTCCCTGTCAGCTCTTTTTCTCTTTTTATGCACACATCATTGCCAAGTTCAAATTGTAAATTACAATTTGCAACTAAGGATTCTTAAGTGAAATCTTTTTATGAATGACATTGGAGGGGCGTGAGCTCAAAGGCCAACATCAACAGGAGAACAAGGCACTCTCCCTCTCACACTCAAACATGCTCTCTCTCTCTCACACACACACACACACACACACACACGTTTACCTGCTTTACGTTGTATCCTGCTTTCGCACTAGTCTCGATAAACATAACGTTGAGTTCTTTGGCTTTCCGCTCACCCTCTTCAATAGACACTTGCCTGTATTAGATAAATGGGTAAAAGCACAAATGAAAGCACAGCTTAAGTACTCACTGACAGCAGAGAAAAAGACTCAGAATCCACTCATGTTTTTACGAAGGACAGAAACTGCAAATAAATGAGAAAAACACCTGACCTTTTGTCTGCAAGGTCAGTCTTGTTTCCGACCAACATAATAATGACATCACCCCCTCTCTCTGTCCTCACATCATCAATCCATTTTGTGGTTTGCTGAAAAGAATTGACATCTGGAAGGAGAACAGCAGACATTCAGTGTTCAGTCAACATCGCAGCACAGGACAGATACCGTAGTGGCTCACGTCTACCTACTTGTAATGTCATACACGACAACAGCGGCAGCTGAGTCTCTGATGTAACTTGGGATGAGACTACGGAAACGCTCTTGTCCTGCTGTGTCCCATAGTTGCAATCTGATCTGCAGGAAAGGAATTCAAAAGAGGACAAAGAGAAAAAGAAGTAAAGGGAAAAAATAGAAAGGATGCAAACAAAACAAAACAAAACAAAAAGAACATGTACATTATGATGACAAAAAGCAAATATAAAAATCACACAATCAAGCCACACAAATGGAAAAACAGAGATAAAGACACGCTGGTTACAAGCACACAAAAAAGCATGCAGTCTGGGCCCTTGGAAAGAAACGGCACATGTTCGATCAATAATCATTATTTCTTGATCTTTCTTTTCTGTCCTATTTGTATTTCATGTCATAAATGTATTTTTTTATTTAGTATTTTATTTAGTATTTATTGTGTTTACTTTTGTTTCTTAAGGGGAAAGTTGAACAGAAAGGTAATTTTAATCCAATAAATGCAAGATGTTTCCAGGGTCAATAAGTAATCAGTAGTTAGACATTAACCAAAATGATGGTGTTCATGATTTTCTTTTCCAAGTCTAGCAGCCCCAATTAAAATGAATGAAATTAGTTGAGAATGAGTTAAATAAAAAAACAAACAGAAGATGTTTTAGGGAGGTTCTTCATAGCTCACACTAGGAAAGCAGCATGCCTTTTAGAGAAAGAGCATAATAGATTTCTTTAAAATATACAAGAAGAAACAAAGACATGGACAAAGACATTGTGTTAGATTTCAGCACATGCTCAAAATCAAATGCTTGCAATTATGTAGGAATATTTACTGATTTAACGTCATTAGAGGGAACGTGAATAGTTAAACTTACCGTTCTGTCCTCAAGATACATCGTTTTTGAAAGGAAATCTATTCCTATTGTGGCCTAAAAATGAATGACAAACAGGTTAATTTAAACTGAACAGCTTTTATGATAATGGGTGAAGGATCTCACCATACCTGGTAGGTGTTGTCAAAGCTGTCATACATAAACCTGGTTATCAGGGATGTTTTCCCCACTGTAAAATGCAAAAGAAACAATATTGTGTCAACAATGTGTTTGTGTGCAGAAATCAACAAACCTGCAGCAATAATATATAACAATAATATAAAATATAATAAACATTTTATATACAGTGCCTTGAAAAGTAGTAAAGCAAAAGTATTAATTCCCTTACAATCTGCGCACGGCAGATTGTAAAAAGGTTGAGATATTGCACAACCCTAACTATGGCCAGTGTCACAGTAAATGTCATGGCAGCAGCTTGATGATATCATTTGTAGACAGACACACAGAAAGACACAGAAAGAGACAAAAACATTTCCGAAGACATAGCTGTCGTTATCCTGAATTCATTATAATTACATAACTGCAATGTAGGCAGTTCCTACACTGTGCCAAACCCACATTATACTGATTATTTTATGACGCCTAACTTAGTATTAAGTGCTAATTGTAATTAATTACTAAAGCTTCAGACTCACCACTCTGTTCCCCGAGAAAAACCAGTTTGAATTTCCTCAAAGGGTTTCCGAAGTCTCCGACCGAAGACATAACAATATGGAGTTACTTTTTGCGGCTTCGACACTTCGAGCCGACAAGTTGGTCGAATGATGAAGATAACACGTATCCTCGTCCCGTGAGGTTTACTGGCGTTTATTCCACCAAATGGAAGCTGTCGAGGTTTACAACGGTAAGCGAATATTTAAATTTGGATAACTCTTATGTACAACACTATTAGCAAAAGTACTTGCTTGACATGTCTGCGCTCCGGTAGCGCTTGTAACCTCTTCCTCCTTACTTTGCGTGTAACGCCACCCACTGTTCTGGAATGTTCATTGCAGGCGTTATTTAAAAATATATACTGTACTTGTTTACTTGAAAGATACACCAACGCTTTGATGCTCCCAGTGGCATTTTAAATAAAACAACAACAAGAACAAGAATAAGAATAACAATACGAATAGGAATGCACCAAACACCTAAAAGAGGCTTTATCTGAAACTATTGTTGCATTAAAAACATCAAGATAGATTAGATTATAGATTATTTTTGTCAGTGTGAGCTCCCTCTTCTGTGCTCTCACACACGCATTTTGCATGTGCAAAATTGTTGGCTGCAAAAAAGTGTTATGAAAACCACCCGATTCCAATCGCTGGCTGGTCGACTGGTGCATCTGTATTTACACATAAACCACCAAACACTCCAGTCCTCTTACTATCGATATGAGACAGCTTGTAGAACAGCATGAAACCAACACTAATTGTCTTGGCTTTGCTTCCTTTCCATCTGGAGTCCTAAATGCACAAAATATCTTCTTGTCCTTTAACAGACGTCATGCTCTCATTCAAAGTTCCCACTCTAACCGACACACTCTGATTAATCACTGCTTGTTTTTTAATGAACTTTAAACCGCCTTTGTTTTACCAAGATGCATTTATCTTCTACTAATTTTCTCTGGTTCCACTGAATATTTAGAGTAACATTATCATGGCTAAGCAAATAAAACAAAAAAGTTGTGGACAGTTTAGTTGAATTAGTGTTTCCCTATGCCTTAACCTGCTGCCAGTTCCTTGTTGTCATCAGCTTCATGCCTAGCCTTCACCTACAGCTGAACATTTGCACGACCTGGGGCCTATGCAGCAAAGGAGGCTCACCATACCCAGGCTTTGTGTTCATGGTCGGGCTTAACAAACCCTAAAGCCACAATCAGAGTCTGGTTCTCAACTTTGGGTTCTGTGCACGCTCATGTAATTGCATAACGTAACACTAGTAAATATTATATTATGCTCTTAGTGTTTTAATTTCTGAATTTCTCAACATTGTGCATTAACCCTTATTCATTCATTTAAAAGGTTTCTGTTTTGTTTTTTTCATTTTTGAAGACGTTTATATTGTCTTCATACATTTTAGTGATTTCAATTATAGATTATGTATATCAGGCTTTAACATCCCTTTTCATTGTCACCTCCCCCTTAAATATATATATATTTTTTAGAACAGTTAATTCTTAAACATATCCTTTAATTTTTTTAGTGATGTAGCCAAACTACATAACAGAAGAAGGAGCACATAAACTGGTCCTTTCTATTTGGTTCTCTTTTATTCCTATGCAATATAGATTTAAGCAATACTGCTTTCAATGTCACACCAAAGTACAGCACAGCATTGATCTCCCCAGAGAGAGGAGGGGGTGGGGAGGAGTTTAAGGCATTATGTGCGAAAATGGACCGCATAAGGTACAAAGCAGTAAGGTGTGTAGTGAAAACATCAAAGATTCCAACAGTGATGTTTGGGTTTATTTGTAGTCATTAACAATACAGTACAGTAAATAAAGGGAAGGAAAAACAAAAGGGTGTAGGGTGGAGGGCGGGAGGGTGGTGGGGGTCTGATGCATGTGAAATAGTAAGACACCAATAAAGAGTAAAGCTAAAGAGGAGATGACTGCAGAGTCTCCAGACTGAACGAAACACTGCAGAGGAGAAAAACCCACCAGAACAGAACAGAACAGATCTGCACTGTAGTGGGACTCCTCTCCCCTGGAATAGGTGAAGCACATCATGCCTGCTGTTTCCAGGCGCATTTATCAGAGAAGGGATGAGGGAGGAGGAGTATAAGAGAGCGCTACGAGGAGGAAAAGGGGGGTTGTTGCCTGCTAACGTAGACAGAGATGGAGTGAGGCTACGAGGAAGAACAAGGGCTGGGTGGTGAGAGAGCACTGAGCAATGGTTGTTCACAGGACTAGGATCTCCGTACAACCATGAGCAGGAAAGGATGTAGAGAGTGAAGGTTGAAGGAGAGCCGGAGGAGAGAGAGGCAGAAAGCGAGAAGACAGAGGAGGAGGGAGGGCTGCAAGGTGATGAAACCCAGAAAAAAATCTTCACCGCACAATCCTTCATCCTGGTGGTATGCTGCAGCAATGATTTGAGGCTTTGGACTATGCTGACAATAAGCCAGAGGGACAACACGGGACAGCAGGTCTGCAACACGCTGCTTTGGTTCAGCCTCAGTGGAAGCAGCCGCAGGACGCTGATTTATTACAGGGGGGCTGGTGGTGTGTTTGTGTGCAGCTCTGATTGTGTGTGAAGGCCGGCCTTTATTGGTGCGTTAGAGATGTTTGAGGTTCTTCAGCAGGTAGAAGCTGTGTTGTACGCTGGTGTGCATCTCCAGTTCTCGGTATGAAGTGAGGAAGGATATAATTGAGCTGCCACCGGGTGAAAGAGCGCGTCTGGCTGCAGCTGTTTATGAATCGGCTGAAGGAGGGATCAGTTATATGCATAGGGGGTTTATGTCAAAGTAGCTGGGGTGTAGCAAAGGTAGAAATTCTATGCAAAAATGCAAGAAGGAGCACGGAGCAGCAGTGACAGCAGGTGCAGTGCAGGTGAGTGCAAGTAGTGCCTGGGGGTAACGTAGAGGGCAAGTGCAACAAAAGAGGAGGGTGGAGAAAAGTGCAAGCAGGCGAGATTAGGCAAAAGGGTGATCATGGCTGTCATGCAGTGAGCTATAGCATATGCTGTAACGCAGTACAGAGTGGTGCAGCGAGGAGAGGACAAGCATCACTGCAGAAGAGGAGGGGGAGACACGAGGTACAAGAGGAGGGGGAGGTAATTAGCTCTTCCCCTCTGCCCACAACCACCAAGAGCAGCGCAACCATCTCACCCACTCACTCACTTATTCACAAAGGCAAGGATGCAGGATGATGAGTGGCCACATCATCGTGTAGAGGTCAAGAGGGAACCGCTGTTCGACAGGGTGGAGGGCGGCGCTGGTTTGCTTCAGCTGGCTGCTGGGTTCTCCTAAGAACACGGCTGCTGGCTGGAAGGAAAAGGCAGAAGTAGGTAGAGACAAAGGAAGTGGCTTCTTCAGTGCTGTTTTTCTGAGAGCTCTGTCACCTCTCCATCACCATGGGAGAATGGACCATTTTGGAGAGGCTGCTGGAGGCAGCGGTCCAGCAGCATTCTACCATGATTGGAAGGTAAGGCACTCGTGGATTTGTGTGTCAGTGTTGATTTCCATGTTTCTCTAGTTATAGTAAAGTGTGTTTTAATGTGGTGGGTTAAATGGACAGTGTTGTCAGCTCAGCGGTTCCTTTGCCGATTGCCATTATCTCAAGTACACAGTAGATAGGTTAGTCTTGGCCATTGACCAATAGAAGGGAAGAGGAGACGAGGTACATGGAAGTGAGAGGAGTAGATGGGATAATGGTGAACTGGCAAATGGGATCTAAGATGAAAATAAAAAATAAAACCTGTACTCTCTCTGGTCTCTCTAATGAACTCTACAGCTTTGATATTATTGGACAGTGGTTAACAACGGAGACGACTACAACAGTCCAATTGATCAGAGTAAAGCTATTGTGAAAGGAACGCTGTACTAGGTATTGAGTATTGAGGTATGTAGAGTATATGTTATGCATGTAAACATGTAGAGGTCTTTTGGGTTGTTTCACAGAAAAGTGGTTTATAGGTTACTATAAAACTGACAACTTGTTAAAAGAGTCCAGCACCTGATCTAAGTTAACGGGGGTCTCTAAGTTACAAATTCTAACAATATCATTACATGTTTTAATTGCACCAGTGAAAACTCAGTGATCTCTAAAGCCCATGTTAAAAAAACAAATGGGCTCCACGTTGTTGTAAACGATAGAATTTGCAGATATTAACCCATGGATAAAAACTTGTGAAGCAAAACAAGGTAAAAAAAAAATTGGTCTAGTCTACTGTGCTCATTATTTCGAATCACCGGTTGTTGAAAACGCCAGGCATGTGACCTCAATGTTCCAACAGTTTTGTACTATGTGTGTTTTGTATTGTGTGTTTGGTGTGTGTGTGTGTGAGTGTGTGTTTAAAAAAGACAAAGACAGAGAGGTAAGGAACAAGGGGCTGAAGAAGCGAAGATTGAGACACACATGTCACCCGAAATAGTGCATTTACTTTGTGGTGATTGGCGAGGTCAGACAGGGGCTAAATGGCAGTGAATATTGGGATTACATTCAACAGGTGGCCAGAAAAAGGAGACGAAAGAGATGTCCGTGTTGCTCTGTTTCTGCTGGATATGTAAGTATCAACAGTAGCAACTGTTTGCTAATACGTTAGCCACATTACCTTCATAAGCTGTCAACTTTTTGTTGTGTGCTTATTCCAGAGTCTTTCCGCCCCCTTGTGGTCACCAAGTGTAATATGCAACTTTCAATTCCTGTCCAGGCAGCTAAATTTTGTACAAACCAAAAAAAGTTACTTTACTTTTAAATCACTCACTGACTTAAGATACCTACCGTTCCTCAGAGGCACAGAAGCAACTCTCAATTTGTCGGCTATCTCTTTTCAAAGTCATAATGACTGCTCTGATTATGTAATGTTCTTAGTTTGGGCTGTTTGTTGATCATGCACTTCACTGACTGAACATGAAAGAGTTCCTCATATAAACACATTTAAAGATGTGAACAGTGCATTCGTGGATCATCCTTCATATGATACGAGTAAAAAAAAACCCAAACGTGTTCCTTCTTTAGAACATGGATCAGATGTTTAATTGTTTACACAACTAGTCAAATGTTGTCATATAAGAGGAAAAAATGACGCACACACCTGTGTTCTATTGTACTGAGTAGTTGCTGTGTAATTGATCCCTTCCTGTTTTGGCTTCCTTCAGACTGTTTGTCCTACAAGGCTGTGTACTTTACCCAGGGGGATTTACTGTAACATTAGCCGCTCGCCAGTGATGTTCTTCCTTTTATTTCGTCTGTCAATGCGACCTGAGCCAAACGGAATTGTTGTTGGATAGTCTCTGGGCAGGATAATTTAAATATTTTATGTTTTAGATTACAGACCGTATTTCAGTTTATTTTAGCATGGTAGTAAGTCGCTCTTTGTAGAACATATGGTCAGAGAAATGATGTAAATTAAGCGGTGGGCTTTATGTTTACTTCCTTACTTGCAGTCAAGATTTTAAGTATATTACGTGCTATAAGAAATCCAAAAAAGAAAAAAAGAAAACAAAGAAGACTTGACTCCCAATCCTAAGCATGTGTCTGCATGGTCAGGAAATCAGTGACAATTATTATTGAAGTGATCTTTCTGATGGTTTTGGATTTAACCTGCAAGTTGGAGAATTGTTCACCACTGGCACAATCCGGTGCTGCAAAGGTGCCTCCTTAATGAATTAATTAATCCATTCATTAATTGACCTACTCCTCCCAAAATTATGTTTGGAGTCAAAATTGTTGCACTGACCTCCATGGGTTGAAAGGTTCAAGTCTGTGGCCATCCTAACTGCACCCAATGAATTTGTTGGATGTTGTTAGGTGTCACCATCACCACCATTAATGTACGTAGTGGTTCAATGTTATGCACCATCAAAGTCTGCACTTTGAAGGGTGTGCTCAGAGCTTGCAGCTACCGCGCAACTACATCACAAATAGAATGTTCAGCCTATGTGTAGTGTGTTCTCCTAGAGTTTGCATGTGTGTGCTTGCACTTCCAAATATTTACTTCCAAGGAACAGATCAATGAAGTTTGCTCGTGGCTGAAAAATCTCCCCTGCATCCAAATCTTACGAAACGATTGCATGCGATTATTCTCTTTGAATTTTAAATTTCCTTTTTTAAAAAAAACAAAACACAAGGACATAGTCCCACCTAAAACACTTGTCATCCAGGTCCAATCCAGCAGTCCTTCAGTTGTGGCTGTTAAGTTAACCATTCACAACGCATAGACCAATCGACAGAAAACTCTGTATATCAACAAACGCAGAGCATTGGCAAAACACAGACGGACATGCTACGATGCTACGGCGTAGGTTTTCTTTCTTTTGAACCTTAAAAGAAACAACTTGCGGGTTACTTCTGTGCCTCTGACTTAGTACAAGTGGCAGAATAATACGGTTCCCTTGGATTATTAATTATCATCATTATTGTATAATTCCATTAGCCTGATATCGCAGAGGTTAACGCTTTGTCTGTGTGTATGGATAACCCCTGAGATTAAAACTTAATTATACATGAAATGAAACATTCCCAGACCAACCAGTTTTACTATATATACACACACAGGAAATGTGAAGCCTCACAGATCCTTGATCACTAACAGATGTTGTCTGGAAGATATGACCTGACACCACCTGAGTTCTTGGTTCCCCACAGACGGTGTCTGATTCAAACAGACTCACCTCAAAAAAACCCAACACGCTTTTCCCCCTATTTTTGACAAAACTTACACAGTTAGCACTCATAACATTGTTTACTGATACGCTCAAATCAAGCTATTTCTTTTTTTTAGAATTGATTATTAGTTTCTGTTATTATTAACCAATTACTAATATGTAATAAGTTTCTTCTTCAGAGCAGAAGTCCTCAACCTTATTTGTTCTGTCAGAAGTTTAATGTAAGACGATATTTTCATTAAAAAATCATGAATCGGACAATTGATTTTAAAAGAAATATTAGGAACAGGAAGAATAGGAAGAAATGGCCAGAGACAGGGTGTGCCTGTTAATTTGAAATGATGCAGTTTATTTTTATCTCTGGTTTAGCAGACACAGTGTTGCTTTATGTAAATCTAAAAAAGCTGTTGTGACATTGGAATAATATATATAATAATATATAATAATAATAATAATAATATATACAACAATCTTTTACGTAGAATTCCTCTCCTCTTTTTTTCAGTTCATTTCTGTAGTTTCTCTTTTTCTAACAAGGTCAAGAGACGCACATTATAAGGTTATCCATTAAAAAAAATAATACTGTTTCTCAAAGACAAGACAGCTCAGCTTTAAATGTGGGTCACATTCTTTCAATGCACGGTGACAAAATGTGCTAATAATAGTCGTTTCCCCGTAAAAATCTGTCCTGTCTCTGGAAATTGTGACATCAAGCCAAACAGACTTGATCATATCGTAGCAAAAAGAGATTAAAACAGGCAGGTACAGTAAAACATACATCTGCAGATCAAGGAAAGGTCAATCTTTAGGTTCACAGGTGGAGCCAGTTGTACCAGCATTGGTGGCAGCCATTATTACTGTGTAAATATATATATGTAGCCAATCTCTTTATACTATCTCTACCGAGCACATGTCCAAACCACACATTACATCTGGGACATCCAGGTCACAGTTAACACTCACATACTTTTCTGCCACTCCTAACTCTCTCATGTATTGCCAGCGTTCCCTCTCGAAATACACCTTCCTTTCTCCTTTACACCAAAACTACCCAGCATTTTTTCATGGTCTTTGTTGCATTTGACAACACGTCCTTTAAATTCTACTCCTTTCTTCCTGTGTACATGTAACAGAGCTGCTTCTTTACCATGTTTTGGAGCTTTTTTCCTGGCTGCTCAGTCAGCCTGTTCACAGCACACTTCCCCCCACCTTATCTAGCTCACCCCAGAATTTATTATTTTTTTAAAACCTGTTTCATGACATGTAAGACAGATAAAAATAACTCCCTATGCCTTTTGCCTTACTTCTTTTCATCTGGTGTCCTGAATACACAAAATATTTTCCTTCCCATCTCCGTCATGTCTGATACATCTACCAGACACAGTCGGACCATTTTAAGCCTTTGTGCTGGGGGTCTGTGACTGACACTAGCTACATTTCCACCACTGCCCTGTGGGTGAACATACATTAACCAGAGCAGGGACTTTGCAAACATGTTTATGTCCACAGTGGCATATGTCTTTTATATTGTCTCTTATGATCCAGCAAACAGAGTGGTATGCTTGGTTGAGCTTGAGAAAGTATATAGTGTAGTAGGAAGCAATGTGGTACTTTGTAAGAAAGTTGGGAGAAGCCGAGAAGCATGTGAGGGCTGTACAGTACATGTACATTTCCAGATGGAGTGACAGAATCAGGGACGCTTTAAGTATCACCACTGATTGTTTGCAGTGGTGATGGATAGTCTGAGAGTAGAGAGGGAGACTGTAAAAGGCGTTGGGCGTTGGGAGAGTAGAGAAGTGAAGGTCACCAGAGGAAAAACCTGTGAAAATCTGCATAATTGAAAAGAACACTAGCAGTTACAAGGAGTCAAGGATGTTGAGTCACATGAAATGAAATTCCTTGGGTTTATTATTCAAAGTGTGGATAGGATAGCAGTCAGCTTTAGGATTAAAAATGTTTTTTTTTTACGTTTTCAAACAAAACTCACATGTAAATGTTTGCTCGTTATTTTTTCCTTTTCGTGCATTTTTCAGTCTGTCCAGGACTGACGTGCTTTCCATCACCTACTGAATCTATTTGTGTATTAATCTACAGATTAAGGACCTTCACAGCATCCCACCAAAATTGCACTGACACACACTATTGGTTTGTTTCACTGCAGTGCCTAAACACTGATGTTTGCACATAACCGTCGTCCACTGCTTTCTGCTGATGCAGCTATCCGCCCCGTGCTGATGATCCTGGGATTCAGCAGTTCAGTGCACACCTACACATGCACCAGCGTACACATGTTCGCCTGCAGATACGACAATTAATAACTGTGGAATTTTGAAGTCATTTAAGGACTTTTATTTCTTCTTTTTTTTTAAGAAAAACAGTATAACATTTTAGAAATGACATCTACATAAAAGCTCAATTTAGGTTTGTATGGTTATTGAACTCCTACAAAGAGATTGCAGTGTCAGGTCTTCCTGAAGCTGAGGTAAGATGGTGGAAGAATCATGCTGAGAAATTCACTTGTGTGCTAATACAATAAAAAAAAAAAAAAAAACAGTAGTAGGTGTAAAATATGACAATCTCGCTAAACACTGATCCTCCCACTTTTTTTTTCTTTTTTTAATGCTAGCTACAGCAAGGGAAGGGAAGTGGTAAAGAGAGAGGAGGAGGAACAGGTTATAAACATTACATTCTAATTACTGTTAATTACTGTACAGATAAGACAAGCAAAAAACAGTAGTAGAAAAGTAGTGAAACGTAAAACAAAATGTAACAATAAATAACAAGTGTAATAATAACGGCAGTGTCAGCTGTGGATCAGCTCCACTAAACTAGATTGAAAATACGTACAATTATCTATAAGAGTAAACATGTCTAGTGTTAAGCAAAGGGGAGATGAGCCTCTGTGTTGTTGGTCATGCATGCAGTATTGTGTTAGCCACATGAACACACACACACACACACACACACACAAACACAGCTGTGGCCTCAAAATGGTCGGTTAAACACAACATAAACATGGCTAACTTGGTAAAGTTCATTATCCAGTTATGTCTAAATCTATCTATCACCAAGTTTTTAATTTTTTTAATGTCTCTATTATCATTGTACAGAGACAGTGAATTTGCTGGTTCATCCTGACACAGGAAAAAAATAAAAAACACTGATCAATTATACTCACACTCAGCCTGGCTTTCAAAAAAAACACACCCGCATTCTATACTTGAGATCAGTAATATGTATATATATGTATACATACATATATATACAGTATATTAACAATGTTAGAATGAACAGCACGTAGAGTCCTTCACCAATCCCAAAATTCAATGCTATCAAAAGACAATGGAGATTGATCAGAGACGTTAACGTGACCTTAACTGATCTACAGTTAAATCCACCCGTCACGATGTCCGTCCTTGATATCCTGTCAAGAGCGACTCATACTAAATGTGTGCTACTGTAGCATCCTCAGCTACGTTAGCAGCTGCTCTGAGCACAGAAGCCTATACATGTATGCTAAATACACAGCTGGCTCTGTCCTCTGTCTCTGTGTCCTTGTGTCTGTCTTACACACACACACGCACACACCCAGACCTGCAGTGGGAGTGGAAGCAGAATTCGTCCTGCAGCATCCTTCTGCTCTATTTTCAGCCTTATCCTCAATGTGCTGTTACCTTCACAGGTCTTGCACCTACCTTTCACAGCTTGGTGCAGTTTTTTCCGTCCTGAAGCATGTGGCAAGAGCAGGTTTCAGTTGAGCAAATTGACGTCTAAGATTAATGTCCACACAGAGCAAATGTTTTTGTGCTATTATTATTATTTGTATTTTAAAGTGACCGCCTTGGTTGTTAGAATTACATCCTGGGAAATGACTCAACGCTGCTGCTGCTGGGAACGAGGAGGAAATGCAGCAACATGAACACAAGGTTGAGGTCATTCATGGGGTTAATATGGTTTAAAATATGAAGTGTGTGTCATGTCACATTTTCACTCTTTTTTCACACTAATTTGTGTACTTTACCTAGTACCATTTAGAATTAAAAACTCTTTATTATTGTGTAACGCCTGTGCTTCTGATCATGGTCTGAATATTTGTGTGCCAGTCTCTAACTTGTTTTCTATTGTGTTTTTACTTCTTTCTTTCTTTCTTTCTATCTTTCTTTCTTTCTTCCTTTTTTCCAATCTATGCTCCTTTTTTCCTTCTTTCTTTCATTCTTCCTATTTTAATCTACACACCTTTTTCTTTCTTTTTTCTTTTTGTCTTTCTGTTTTTCTTTCTTTCTTTCCTTCTACCTACACCCCCCTCTGTCTTCTCTTTCTGTCTGACTACAGGATCTTGCTGACTGTGGTGGTGATTTTCCGTATACTAATTGTAGGCATAGTAGGCGAGAAGGTGTATGAGGATGAGCAAATCATGTTCATCTGCAACACCATGCAGCCTGGCTGCAACCAGGCCTGCTATGACAAGGCCTTCCCAATTTCGCACATTCGCTACTGGGTCTTCCAGATCATCCTGGTCTGCACCCCGAGCCTGTGCTTCATTACATATTCAGTCCACCAGTCTGCAAAGGCTCGTGACCGAAGTTATTCCCTCCTCCATTCCCACACGGACCACGGAGGCCACGGTCACCACAGTAGACATCATGACCATCACGGTCGCAAGCTTCAAGCGCGCAACATTAACGGCATCCTTGTTCACTCTGAAAGTAAGGAGGATCACGACTGCCTGGAGGTCAAGGAGATTCCAAATGGACCTCGAGGACTCCCACCGACACACAAAAGTGCAAAAGTGCGGCGACAAGAAGGTATCTCGCGTTTCTACGTAATCCAGGTTGTGTTCCGCAACGCACTAGAGATTGGCTTCTTGGCGGGCCAGTACTTCCTCTACGGTTTTAACGTGCCAGGAATGTTTGAGTGCGATCGCTACCCGTGCGTGAAGGAAGTGGAATGTTACGTGTCTCGTCCCACAGAAAAGACAGTCTTTCTGGTCTTTATGTTTGCAGTAAGTGGCATATGTGTGGTGCTAAACCTCGCCGAGCTCAACCACCTCGGCTGGAGAAAGATCAAAACAGCCATGAGGGGGGTGCAAGCTCGAAGGAAGTCCATTTGTGAAGTGCGTAAGAAGGATGTTTCGCACCTGTCACAGGCTCCCAACCTGGGCAGGACCCAGTCTAGTGAGTCAGCCTACGTCTGACAGAACCTTTACTGTGTGGTTCCCTGAGAACATCCTTTGTTTGGAGGAGAGATTTTACCTGACCCAGGACGTCCAATGATTAGCAAACAAAAGAGTATGACACCGCAAAGACATATTTCACTCTCAAGTGAAAATGACGCATGAAGTAACAACGCTGTTGCTTGAACAAAGACTGCCCTTCGAGCTGACATGCCGGAGAGCTGGGCTCTGCCTAAGGGCGAAATTATGCATTTGCAGAAGAGACACCGAGCAAAGATTTGATCTGTGGCTGAATTATTATTTATTATTATTATTATTTTACTCAACTATGGGCTGGTAATAATGTCCTGGTTTACATATGCAAGAGCTTAAGCATATGCATGCATATGCATGTGATTAGGAAAAAAGCAATTTAGGAATTTGACACAAAGAAGAATGAGCTCCTTAGAAAAAGATAATGCCATTTCTCTTTAAGTTAAGGCACTTGGTAGACCAGTTTACTTTGTTAATGCATAATGTCTACAGCAACAAAAAAAAAATGTTGACAAACAAGTCTGAATCTTATTGACACTTTCCTTCACATTGTATGTAGCAGTAAGTGCTAGTTAGAATACAGACTGACATTAAGGTTTACTTGAAATGAAAAAGCCGGGTTGTTGTCACGATGATGTCATGCACTACCTGAGAGCCGTGCTCCTCATGAAAGTGCCGGCTCGTGTTTCCACTCTGGCTTGTTAAGCAGAATTAAGAGTTGAAATTAAATTTAATTAAGAATTTTCAATTTTGTGTTATCAGAAGAGTGTTATAGTTAAAAAAAATATTTCACTGGTACCAAACAAAGATTTGGTACCAGTTTTATGTTTAAAGTAACTGTATATAAATTAAACATAGTAGGTATATGTAGCCTTTTCTCTGTGTACTGTGGACAGGCTTCACGTGGATGGCGGGGACAGGAATCGGGTGAAAATTCTGGATTTTCAGCTTTAACCATATGTATTATCAATGAACCTTTTGTTAACCCTTCACCATCTGATGGACATGTGTTACTGAAGGTCGTTGCCCACCGGACTTTGACGAAAGCATGTTACTCAAATGATAACAATAATAGAATAGTAAAGTAGGAATTGTATTAAGAGGAGATTTTTATTTATTTGCATTGTGCTCCTGTAAAATGTAACACTTAGCATGCATGGAAATAAACCTTAAGAGAATAGAGCCCCTTGTGGGAAAATTCAGAGGTGGAGTTCTATAAGGTTCCATTACTGGTGCAATAATAACAGTAATAATAACCCAATAAAAGTATTTAACTATATGGAACTATATGTGACCATAATATGTGAATAAATTATTATGCCATTAACAATTATGGCTGTGCTGTGTTAACAAAATATTTTGCTCACTGGCACTAAATGTATATAGAGATAAATCAGGGGATGTTGATCAGTACTGGCTTGGGACTAGGGACATCATCAAGAGTTTTTGAACCAATGAGAACATTAGGATGGACCTAAGACTGATGCAGCACTGGAAACGGAACGGAAAACAACAGACAAGGACAGAGTGAAAGCTATGAAACTTCATCAAACATTTTATTTTCAATCTCTTCCAGAAAGTGGAGTTAATAAAACCACATGTTGAAAAACCACGGCAAGGGTGAATTTTCTTAACACCAGAGTCAATTGCGCAGTAATACTTAGATGCACTAATACCAGCAAATCCTCCAGAAAAGCATTCTAGTGTATTTGTTGACCAAGTATTATAACGCTTTTAATTAGTTGCAGTTAATAAATAAATAATTATTAATTTATTGTAAACTAAAATGTTACTAATAACTAATAACAATGCAAACATTTAAAGTGACATAAGGTATGGACGTATGAATGCCTGTTTGTCTCTTTGTATCCCTGCCATTCACTGATGAACTGTCCAGGGTGTACTCTACTCTCGCCCGACGGCTTCTGGGACTGGCTCCAACTCCCACTCAACCGTGAAGGAGTACATTAATGAATGATGAATATGGACATCACTTAATATTGAGGTTGATCTTTTATACCAAAGCCAAGATAATTGATCATTTTACATCCTGTAAAAGTCAATATTATATTTATTGGATTTAGTGGAGATAAAAAAAGTTAAACAATCACTGTGGAAATGAGATGTTCCTCTGCTTTCATTATATATATATTATATAATATAACTATGTTATTATATTATATAACTATAACTATGGTATATAACTTATATTAGTTATGTATATGTACTGTATAAACAATATACATATTTCAATAAAATATAAAAGCATATAAAATGTATTATTTTAGTGATTATATACATTTAGAGAGAGAGAGAGAGAGCGACCCTAGTATTAATATAGTACAAATAAACGTATTAACAGGTATAAAAATTGCTCCTCTAATTCGCTTCGGTCTCGCGCATGCGTACAGCCTGTAACATCTTTGTAAAGTTTGTCCAAGTGCAGTTGCCGTTTTTTAGCTGTCCAAGATGGCGCCCACATTTCGCTCGTGCGCAAACGGCAGCGACGCTGATCGTCGAGTGACAGCAGGCTGCTGAATCAGCGGTGCAGGAAGGAACGCCTCCGAAGATCTCCCTCCTACATTCTCTGTGTCTGTGCGTCATTTTACCCACACACACTCACTCACACAACATGAAGCTGTCACCTTGAGGAGAAAAAACATGAGCAGAGCAATTTGTTCTGCTTTTATGTAGAATATGGTCAAAGTATACAGCGGATAATAATGCAACCTGATTTTTTTTCTTGTGTAAATATGGCGGAATGAATGTGTACATATGTGTGCATATCAGGCGTTAAGCAGGACGACGCTCCCAAATCTTGCGCGGGGGTCTATGCGCAAAGCGTGGCTTGTCTTTTAGCCTCGCTTGGTATATTTATTGAAGTAAAATGGCAGGTTCAAACCATCATGTGACCGGACTGAACATACATGACCGTCTGCCTCAATTTATTACAACTCGTACAAACAACAATGACGTAACGACGTCACTCTTTGACGTACATGAACTTACAGGACGTATAATGAGCAAGGGTTCCATCTAGTGACCACACCTAACACCTCAGTCGCAATGCCTTACTGTAATATTTCATCCCGTGCTTGCAATTCATAACACACTTTACACTGGTCAGTCCACATCCAGATAACTCTGTCTGTAGAAACCATCAACATTATGCAGAAATGTAGTATAACAAGTCGGTATGTCCTAGATAACTCATGTAGCCATAATCATGCCTTACCAGACTAACAAACCCATGAAACAAAATTCACAGCTGTAACACACTGTACACTGTGAAAAGCATTACATTGTCCGTACACTCAGCTCTATTCACTTTTTTGGACTTTTCATATAGTCTTAGTCGTCTTTTAAAGTCAGCACAGATGACCTTATTTTCATTTTTGTGTCACCGGCTTAAAAGATTCAGGTATTACTTCAAATATTATGTCAATGGTGTTCTCTGTTTGAATAACATAGACACTATCAGTATCAGCCATGTGTATTTCATAGTCAAGCTTGTGATCAGATTGATAATCGTTGGTTCACTTTATCAGTTGTGTCGTCTTATCAGTGACACAGTCTTGTCATCTATCAGTGTTGTCAGTTCAGCATAGCATAGTCAGTATTTTTCTTTCCTTTTGTCGAAAGTCTCATGCAAAGTAGTTTTTTTTTTTGCTTCTAGTCCAGTACTGACTAACACAGTATATAAGTAATTTAATATATATTTAACAAAAACAGGGAAAGGATAGACAGAATACACCGTAGCTGTATTCATTTCCTCTCCAGATTCCAAATCCTCTTTTTTTAAATTTTCCAGTTGAGACATTAACAATGTTTTTGACCACATCATCAACCTCAACTATTTTTCCAACACAGTTACAAATCCGTTTCCCTCAAATACCACTGGAGAGAGGCCAAGTACCACCAATGCTATGCTAACTGTAATTCGTGGACCACTACTTCTTGTACTTCTGTTTGGTGTTTTTTTTTTTATCATGTATCAAGTGGAATAGTTCCTTCTACTTAGAGGACATGTGGCTTATTTCCATCCCTGTTCTACACAAAACCCAAACTCACAATCACTGATTTTTTTTTGTACATGTGTTACATAACAAACATACCAAGAAGACAGACTTTACACAATAATGATGACATCCCTCGGCTAACCTCTCTTTCTTTGCTCACAGTCCTAACTTTTTCTATACTAGAGAATTTTTTAAATAATTTTATTAATAATTCATAGATAACCCTGCTGCCATATGGTTTCCTGTTATTGACAAAATATTTCTAAATAAGGAATTACAGTGAAAAGGGAAGAGCACAGAGGCGGGTCAGAGAATGAAATTAGAAACCCTCAGCCCACCCTCCCCTCTCTCGCTCTCTTTCTCTCTCTCTCTCTCCCCCTCTTTCTTTCTCTCTCCCCTCTTCCTCTCTCTCACTTCTCAACCCTCCTTCTCGAACTCTGTTATATTCTTGCATGTGGTGACGTCATTTCTTTCAGACAAGGGCGTTTGCCGCATTCATAGTCACACTGTTATGACTGTAGGAAAAGAGAGGAGCCACGACATTTGAGTACAAACTTCAATTTCCCTTTCCTCAGCGCCCACTACAGAACAAGGTAAGTTTTCTCCTGTGTTTAACTGCTTTACTGAGACTGTGACCAAGCCTTTGGGGAAAATGTAAGAAACCTCTTCCTGTGGCTAAAACTTTCATCTTTGATCCTCAGAGATTAACAGCCTCAGACTAAAACTTGACACTTGCTCCGTGTAATCTCCTTTTATTTAATGCCTTCTGATGACTGCACTTATCCATGGATTTAGTAGTGAAGAAGAATTAAGATTATGGACTATAGTTGGACCTTTGGGTCCCTGACAAAGTATGTGGCCTCATTTTTTTTCGCTTCGGAAAATAAAAAAAAGGAAACTTTATTTTCACTGAATTTGTACAATGGATGTTTGTTCTCTGAGAGAGCGGCAGCATAAATGAGAATAAAGGAATAAAAGCAATAAAACAAAATACAACATTATAGTGTAAAGTACTGTACACTCGAACATATTAAATGTGCACTGACAGAGCGGCGAGCAGCGTGGTGTTAACATGGTGACTGAATTGTTTGTTGACTCTGACATCCATCATTACACAATTGTAGGAAGCTAACACCGGCAGTGGAATATCTTATGCATTTTATTGCACTTTCTCACCTTTGTATTGCACAATGGACTTTGCGTCATGTATTGGTTAACTACGTTACAACATGGAGGGGAGAACAAATAAGAGATAAGTTGTCATCTTTAGGAAGAAGTACAACTCTCTAAACTTTGGTAATGAGTTATTATTTAAATAATGAAAACATCAGGTATTTATGAACAAATCCGCTTCAACAATTGATTCGACGGTAAACGCTAAGCAAGTGGAAACGTTTAGTTTAGTCTTACCAGTTTTTATGAGGCTTCGATTAATTATTCTGCAACTGAAGCTAAGAACGCTGAGCTCTAAGGCGATGTACACAGAGACACATGGACAGGAAAAGCTTTGATGTGACTTAAATGGAGACTGTTTTAAAGAGGCTCAAGTTTACTTTACTTTACTATTTATATAGCAGCTGCTGTACACGATGAGAGGTGAGATGGGCTTCTGTTGTCTATTAAATTTAAGAGCAGTTGGCAGTTTTTTCAGGTTCACATTGAAAGCATGAAAAACATGCAATGCAATTACGAAAGAATTAAATCAATATTGTAGACTCAGACCTCATAAATACACAGTAACTACTGTTGCTATGTTGCAAATACAACAACTCAAACAGGAAGTGACCTCTGGAGGTATTCTGCAGAAGTGTGAAATCTGAAGTTTCATGTGGAAGACCTGACTGTCAGTTCATTTTTTATTTTATTTATTTATTTTTTCTGGAAGTTTTTTTCTAGAGTTATTTGTTTCTGTATGGAGTAAAGGTTGGGGAGTAAAACTATCCAATAGGGTTCAGAGCTATGATTTCCAACTTTATTTCCAATAATAATTTTTAAAGTTAATAATATATTTTTGTTTTCTGGACCAGATACTGCAGGTATCTGAGCATCCCTGCATCTGACAAAGTGACAGTTAAATTTCATTACCAGAAAATAGGAAAATCAAATTAATGAATTTTTGAATGAAGAGGTTAGTCAGAGGTTGGGACAAGACCTTTGATAAAGAAATATAGCACTCCACAGAGATGTTTTGATAGTTACGTCACCTCTTTATTATCAAAACCTGCCCCATGGAATGTTCTCTGAACAAGAAGATACTTGTCCTTGTGTTCAGTGGTTGCAGCCTGTCTGGTGCCTTCAGGTCTACTTCCACCAGCACCCTTTATTATTAGGCATTTTATCACATTGTATTTTTTTCTTTTTCTCTTTTCTTTTTCTTAAATTTTTTAACCTTTGAAGAATAAGCGTTAAAAAATGGGCATGCAGTAGGTATAACATAAATAAGGTAATCTCTTTCACAGGATCATTATGGCATACCATGGCCCAGCCTATGGTTTCAGCCGCGAGGTCCAAAATAAAATTGATAAGAAGTACGATCCGGAACTGGAAGAAAAGCTGGTGGAGTGGATCATCGCCCAGTGTGGCTCTGGAGTGGAGCGACCCGAGTCAGGCAAGAGTGGCTTCCAAACGTGGCTAAAAGATGGACGTGTGAGTGTTTGCCTACCCATAATTGTTTCTTTAATATTCATCACTGTCGTCAGGGTCTGACAAAGTCCTCTGTCTGTGAACGCCTGTAGGTGCTGTGTGAACTCGTCAACAGCCTGTACAGAGACAACAAACCCATTAAGAACATCAAGAGCTCCACTATGCCATTTAAACAGATGGAGCAAATCTCCCTGTTCCTCAAAGCTTCTGAAAACTACGGTATGACGAAAACGGACATGTTCCAGACAGTTGACCTCTATGAAAGTAAGTCAAGCAATAAGACACTATACAAAATCATAATTCTGTTGACTGGTTGCCATAAAACCTTGTACAAGTGGTGCCTGTAGGAAAACATGCATGGCTTAAATGATGATTCAAAGAGGAGAAAGTGGCTATAAGAAATGGGACATTTTGTTGGGCGAATCAAAATTTGATTTTGACTTTGGCTTTCCACATTTAGGAAAAAGCCTTTCGCCTTGCTAGCGTGTAGAGTGCTGCACCCGCCCCGAACACAAACAGTAGTTTACCTTTTAGCACATTTGTAATGAAGCGGTTAAATGACTCAAAAGGCAGCTGATTGTTCTTGAGAAACCAGTTTAATTTTTTCCAACCACAGTGCCGTGTCACAATAGTGTGATGAATGACGAGAGATCATTAAGTGTGCCCTGGAAAATTATGCAATTTTGTTTAATTGGTACCAAAACTAATATGTATTTATTGCAAATACTGTTTCTTTGTTTGTCTATGCGTTAAAGGCACAGCAATTAAATCATCTTCCGCTAGGTGGCAGCCGATTGTTATGAAAACTAAAAGAAAAATAATCAGAGCTTTTGAAGAAGATCTCTGTGCATGTCTTTCTTTAATTCCTGCCAGTTTATCAGCGTTGTCTTTAACTAAACAGGAGTACATTTTTAGTCAATTTAAACTTAAAGATTATTATGCTTGTTACATTTACGTTTTGTGAGATTTTTTTTTTGGTGGTGTGCTGTGGGATTTTTCCTGGAGATTTAGGTGGTGTGCTGTGGGATTTTTCCTGGACGTACGTACCAAACATTGTTTTTTATGACATTGCTATGTGTCTTTAGGCAGAGACCTGGCCGCTGTCCAGAGGACCCTAATGGCTCTGGGTAGTCTGGCTGTTACAAAGAGTGATGGGAACTACAAAGGAGATCCCAGTTGGTTCCATAAGTGAGTATTCATTCCTGGCCCAGAAATGCACCAATAGCATTTTTTTTTCTGATTTAGATTTTTTAATTTTTGTAATGATACATTTTAAAAAATGTTTAGCTTTTATAATAAACTGTCAAGTGTTTTGAAGCTAATAACGTGTGAGCTCCACTTTGCCATCACACCAAAAACCATCTGATTCTTTTCAATGGCCAGTTGATGGGAGCACCTCTACTTTATTAGTCGTTCTAGTTTGGTTAAACATACACAAACAGGTTTAATGTAATTCTATTTACTTTAGTTTACGTATTCAGTTGTGACAACTTAACCCGACAACTCCATGTTTATCCACATGCAGGAAGTCCCAGGAGAACAGGAGAGAGTTCTCAGAAGAACAAATGAATGAAGGCAAAAGTGTAATTGGGCTGCAAATGGGAACAAATAAAGGCGCAACTCAAGCTGGCATGACAAGTTATGGACGACCAAGGCAAATTATTAACAAAAAACCCTGAAACTAAGAGGTGTTAATCAGAGCTCCAAGACACAACTCCATGTGTGCTCTGGAATGTCATGTACCAAGGGCAAACTATCTCACTTTTCACTCTAACTTTTGCTTCGGAAAAATATAACCTGTCTGCTTTCAAGACTAAACAGGGACCAACTAAAATATGTGCAAAAATAAACATTCCCTAATCAAGACATTCCATATACTTACATTGTGAACAAAGTTCTAACTGTATACATGAGTGAGTGTTTATAACAGTTTCTTTCATTAGAAATAATTTGAATTGAATTCACAGACCAGACTTGCAGACACTAGTGCAGAAGCTCACCACTACACAGGAAGGGTGTAGTGGGGGGCTTCGTTGCAGTAACATCCTTCCAACTGTCAGAAAACGACAACGCTGCTCCCCAGGATGAGGTCAATGGGTTAGATGCAGAGGACCAATTGTGTTGTGTGTTTATATATGTCAGTATGTGTCCAATGACAACAAAGGCAAGTCTTCATTTAAACGTGTTTTGTTTTCTGTTTAAATCCTCAAAGTTAACCCCAGCATACAAAGAACAATTCTTAAAAGGCATTTAAAACAAAATCTTAGGGAATTCAATTCATTTTTTCCCCTCACTGACAAAAATTTTATTGTATTTTAGATCACAGTGGGATTGTGCTAATTCAAATCCTTAAATAATAAACAATTGTTTGATCCCCTTGAGATTCCTATCAATTTCTAAATCGGTTCTGTTCACAGTATGTTTCATATTCTTGTCATAATCAGTTTTATTGATGTCTTTTAATCAAATGTGTTTAATAAATTCAGTCTAAAAATTTACAGTTGTCTGGTATTTTTCTAATCATGTTTCACTACATGGCTGTGGTAAACAGCATATACAATCCAGTGTTTTTGTTCTACAGTGCCATTGTGGCTAGTATTGTAAACCCACTGGATAATAAACTGAGTTAGTTAACTTTTTCATAGAAAGTGTTTGTATTGATATTGGTTTCTTGCAGTATCAAAAACCACTTCAGTGTTGTTGGTTACTTCTAATTTTCCTAGACTAAAATTCCCTAATGTTTCTCTTTTCCAGAACTAGGTGCATAAGACAACGACAAGAATATCGACAATGGGAGAAAAACTTTAAGGGGACTAACCTTAGTAGTAATTTTGATAAACAAATACCATTTAAATAGTGTTTGATCAACATCCTGTTAGCATATAATTACATTTTTTAATCCAATGTAATTTCACTATAAGGGCACTGAATGCATAAATAAATAAATTTCGCGATTACTGACTTTCAGAGTGCACACAGTGACTGAATCACCGGTGATGGGCTCTTTAAATTGGCCTCACGTTAACAGAGGTGTGGCTTTTGTCCTCATGTAAACCACTCCCCTCGTTTCAGTACTACACTAAACACACAAACACACACAAGTTTCGCAAGACGGAGGAGGTGAGGGTAAGCCCCGCCCACCAGGTGTGGACGCAAGAGTGAGTCACAGCAGGTCTCGGGAGAACGACATTTCCCAGTTGGAGTAAAGTCTAAACACTTTTTTTGACATAAGGAATTCTGCATGTTTGTTTATCCTATGTTTCGAATGTGGTCTGCGTTTTTGCTGATGACAGGTAAGTTTAAATAACTTCCTGGAAGGGGGAATGACGTTGTCAATTTCAAACGTTGAGTTAAGTCTTTAGGCGGAGACAGTTTTAGGCAAATATCCAGGTAATTCAACTCGCAAGACAACGTAAGCAGTTGTTTTGGCTACATTGTCAACACTTTTAGTGTTTTTCATAACTTCTTATACGGCTGTTGGAAATATGATCCGTCATACATGTGTTTCTTAAGCTATTTTATCAAATTATTCTGAAAAAACCTAAACGCATTTTATAACGTATGCGGACTGTAAAACTGTGACATCTACCGGCTAAAGTTCGCTAGCAGTGGTTTGCGTCCTGGAACACGGCTGGCTTATTTTTGTGTTAATAAGGCTTCTTTCCCCTGTTTTTCCACAATGTGACATGTTTTGTTATACACATTTCAGCATAGTTTAATACACAATGTGACATGTTTTGTTATACACAAGCATAGTTTAATGTCGATATTGACGTTGGTAAAAAAAAAAAAAAATTGATATTGGCGTTGGGAAGAGTTGACAAGGTAAATTAATTTCAATGGAAAAGCTATTCTCTGGGTAGTCATTCACCTGGGATAGCACATTTATTTAAAAATGCTACACAAAAGTAACCAAATAATGTGTATTATGTTCACGGTTGACTAGTCAAATGGGTTAATGTCTGATTTATTTATTGCTTTTCTATTGTTGATTATAACGTGTAGGTTTTCCTCTGTTACCGTGTTAATTACCGCGTTAATGATAAAATTTATTAGCATTAGCTTCCTACAAAACCCATCAAATAATTTTATTGTAAGAATAAAACAAATATATATATATTTATATATACATTTTTAACAATTCAATATAGACACATACATACATGAACCCTTTTATGTTAATAATTCCACTGGTGGCATATACTAATATTTGATAATTTTATATTTTTTATTTAGGAAATAATTATATTTAAATGACATTTTATCTATGTTGATCATATGGTAAGAAATGCTAAAATATAGGCCTGCTCAAATGAAAACAAATTCGGCCACTTTAAAAAGGATTCATATATCTTGAATTTACATAGCTATAAGCTATGGGATTTTATTATTCATTGCATTTTTACTTTTTCCAGCTGTATTCTTGCACCTTAAAACCCCTGTTGAATAGAAACATAAACCCTCTGTTCCTTTTTTAGCCTCAGTGCTACAGTTACTTTACACCCAATCATTGCATCATTTCTGCAATGGCTTACTTTTAAATGACCTATTCAATAGGTTAGTTAGGTTAGAAACTAATAGACTTTAACCTCTAAAAGTTTCAGCTGAGCATGTATTACAAAACATGTACAAAGTATTCGTCAGCCAACAACATCAGGACAGGCAAAGACATGTTAGCTCCAAGTAGTTGATGCCTCTACTGCAGCTGTCTTTTTCACGGACGACTCAGGATAGAAACGTTGTTGCATTTATCAGTTCATTTATTGTCTTAAAATAGATGATTGGAAGGCTCAAATTCAACACATGACCACCAGGTAATTATTGAATCTGATATTCAGTAGATTTGGTGGAGGGATACATTTAAAGTAATGTTAAGATAAGGCAATTTTTGAGTTACAATGATGGCTCTGTAATTATTCACTACCTTTAACGTTGACTTAAGTGAACCCAGAGAAAGAGGATTAAGTAACCTTCCCTTCTCTTGCATCCAGTGTTAAGACTATATTACATTATCCTTTTGTTAACTCTAACCCACTTCACTTTTATGTCCAGATTATGTCAACAGAAATGTGCATTGCATACTGCTTGACTCTCTCCGAAACAGCCCGTTTTACTCTTGTTTGCAATCTTAGGTCACTAGCCGTCTTCCTTGTTTGTCACTCTGTAATAGTCATTCATTTCTAATGGATACCAAAATGCTGCCTCACAGGTCATGTGGTGGGTGCATTTTCCATTAATATTGGTACAGTTTGTAAGGTCCTGTCTGTATTTGGTACTATTTATTTTTCCATAACTGTATTCAATCTTTGCAACTCCCAATGAAAATCTCATACCTCTAGTTGCCCTGTCAAAGTCTGTTCTTTAATTCTTTACTCTAACTATATATGTAGAATTTTGTTATATCTGCATTTTGTGGATTATGTAGCAAATTAATGTAAGCAATAACTATCTGATGTTTATATTGTTTAACAGACTTTTAAATCTCTAAATATTTTCTCACCTCACTGAATTTTTCATAGGGATACAATGTGTCTGCGGGATAGATATTTACACTCCAGGTGAAGTGGAAGCAGTCAATGGGACCAATGTGAAACTGAAGTGCACTTTCAGCTCCAGTCACCCAGTGACGCCACAGACGGCCATTGTGACATGGAACTTCCGTCCTATTCACTCAGGAACGGATGAGTCGGTGTGTATGAAAATGACAACGAGAACCTATACTGTCAATTTTGTATCTATTGTTTTTCTATTTTAAAGTTTGTGGTGTTTTGTTGTTAACATAGTTCTGATATTTTTACCACTAAGTGAGAAACAAGGTCTGACAGCAGGGGAGCTCCACTTTAATTGTTTTGTTTTTTTTTACAACAATATTCTTATAGTTACTAACTGAGGTAGCCCAGTTGTTGTTTTATACATTTCGATTTAACAATACCCTTAAGTAATATGGTACACAGTTTTAGCACATATTAGGTGCATCTTTGGAAAACCGATCATGTGTTTGTTATTTTTAATCTGACATCTGAATATTTTATTTTGGCCACACCTACTACTTCTCACATGTAGCTGTTGCATTGATTGGTCCCTGTAGGCCACTGAAAGCATAAAATAAAATGAAAAATAATGTTTTTACACTGGCAAAATAAGCTTATAGATCAAAAATATTAGGTCCATGTTCCTTCAGTTATAATATCAGGACATGGCTAAAGCCAGTATATCCATGGAGATATTTATACTAATGATTAGGATCGGTTGACAGCTTACAGATGACATGGCTGCATTTTTGTGTTAGTGGCAAATTTCTGCTGTGTGTTTACATGTCTAGTACTTCTACTTGTGTCAGGTGTTTTATTACCAGGAGGTACCATACCCTCCCCAGAGTGGGCGATTTAAAGGACATGCTGTGTGGTCAGGGGATATTACAAATCGGGATGCCTCCATCACCCTGCATGAAGTGCCTCCAACTTTTAATGGTACCTTCATCTGCCAGGTGCGCAACCGTCCGGATGTGCACGGTGTAAATGGAGAAATCAACCTTAAAGTTGTGAACAAAGGTAAAATTGACAATATATTATTAGAATATCGTACCATTGTATAAAATCATAGAATCTTTTGTCACATTTT